TTCTATTCCTATTCTACTCTAATTCCTATTCCTATTCTATTCTATTCTATTATTCTATATTCTATTCTATTCTATTCTAAACTCTATTCTATTCTATTCTATTATTCTATTCTATTATTCTATTCTATTCTATATTCTATTCTATTCTATTCTATTCTATTCTAATCTATTCCTTGGCATTCTATTCTATTCTATTATTCTATTCTATATTCTATTCTATTCTATTCTATTCTATTCTATTCCTTTGCATTCTATTCTATTCTATTCTATTCTTATTCCATTCCATTCCATTCTATTCTATTCTATTCTATTCTATTCTATTCTATTCTATTCTATTCTATTCTATACCTATTCTATTCTAATTCCTATTCCTATTCCATTCCATTCCATTCCATTCCATTCTATTCTATTCTATTCTATTCTATTCTATTCCATTCCATATTCTATTCTATTATTCTATTCTAGTCTATTCTATTATTCTATTCTATTATTCTATTCTATTCTATATTCTATTCTATTCCTTTGCATTCTATTCTATTCTATTCTAAACTCTATTGTATTCTATTCTATTATTCTATTCTATTCTATTCTATTATTCTATTCTATTATTCTATTCTATTCTATATTCTATTCTATTCCTTTGCATTCTATTCTATTCTATTCTATTCTATTCTATTCTATTCTTATTCCATTTCATTCCATTCCATTCTATTATTTCTATTCTATTCTATTTTATTCTATTCCTATTCTATTCTAATTCCTATTCCTATTCCTATTCCTATTCCATTCCATTCCATTCCATTCCATTCCATTCCATTCCATTCCATTCCATTCTATTCTATTCTATTCTATTCTATTCTATAATCGATGTTCCCAGGAGGAGGTCACAGCCAAGCCCTTTTCTCTCCTGCCACGGGCAGCGCAGGACCCTTCTGGAGCTGTACAGGATGCCCAGGCTGAGCCCAGTGCACTGAGCACCATCCCTTCCCACACAAGAGGGGCAGCCATGGCCACCAAGCCCCCCTGCCAGGTCCCCCTTCATTTCAAGAGAGCAGGAGAAGAAGCCTGTAGCCTGAACTCTGGAAAGAAGACTCTCTTGGGTTTTTTTGGCACCGCAAGGTTGAGTTTGCGGCTCCCCACTTGCCCAGCGGGATTTAAGCAGATGCCAACCGCCGGCAGAGCTGAGAAGGCTCCAAGGTCTGGGGCCCGTGATTGACTGCAGAGCCTGACCTACAGCAGGAGGCTCTGGAGAGCAAGGCTGGCCCCCCCAATGTTGTAACCCCCTGGAAATAACAGGGCATGGAACTCCTGTTATTGTACTTAAGGTCAGCCTTTGATCCACTTGGCCAGCCCCAGGCTGAAGGCTCAAGCAGTTTCTGGCTGACGTTTCCTGGGCCTCTATCGCCCTCTACTGGGCAGGTCAGAAATTGGAACCGCCAGGCTCCGGCAGACTTTTTTTGACCCTGTTGTGTGCTGTTCTCAGGCTTCATACAGCTTCACACCGTTCAAAGTTATAACCCACGTGGTGACCATTCCAACTTGCAACGGCACTGAAAAAGTAATGGTCGTGGCTGGTCTCCACACTTGTGACTGTTGTGGCACTCTCACAGTCACAGTCACAACAGTAAAGGCCACTTTAGCTGACTGTGTTCAGCAGGTCAGCGGTTCAAATCTCACCGGCTCAAGGTTGACTCAGCCTTCCATCCTTCCGGGGTAGGTAAAATGAGGACCCAGATTGTTGGGGGCAATGTAAATATATATATATATACATTGCTTACTGGTGTACACCGCTTAGAGAGTGCTTGCACTTAAAGCGGTAGATAAGTCTCATAAATAAAATAAAATAAATAAAATAAATAAATCAGTGATGAAGCACCCACAGACTGGACAGCTACTTGTCTCAAATTGTATACAGCAGGGGTGTCAAACTCAATTTCATTGAGGGCCCCATCAGCATTGCAGTTGCCCTGGAGGGGGACGGGGGGGCGGCCTACTGGGTGGGTGTGGATGGAGTGGGTGTGGCCTACTGGGTGGGCTTGGCCAGCTGTACATCATTCGCGTCAAGGGAGCCTGTGGGGGCCTGGGTAGGAGTGGGACAGATCTGAGGGTCTCTGGCGGAAGGGGGTGGGACCAGGGCAGAGCCCATCAAGCCGGATATGTGAAGGAGGCGAGGGCCATTTGCTGGCCACTTCCAGGCGATGGTGCATTTCTTCATTCCTCAAAAAGGGTGACACTTCCCCAGCATGCACCCAGGGGGCAGGGCCGACGCCGCAGGGGCCGGTTCCTTGCTGTTTCCAGCCGGCTTGTGGAGCTAAGACTGAATGCATTTCAGCATAGATGGCCACCACAAAATTATACATTGGCTCCCAGCCGGCCTGGGCTAGGGCCAAGGCAGCGGGGGCCGTTCCCTCACTGTTTCCAGGATGGCTTCGCGGGCCGCATGAAACCATTTTGCAGGCCGCATCCGGCCCCCGGGCCTTGTGTTTGACATGTCTGGTATACAACGACTAGAGGCGGACTAGAAGACCACTAAGGCCTCTTCCAGCTCTATTCTGACTGATAGGATCAAAACTGGGGTGCTTGTCCATTGGCGTGTATTTATGATGATCACAGCATCCTGGAATCATGTAGGTTGCCATAGAAACCCTATAGAAACCCTATCAGGACACGGCCATTCTGGTGGGAGGGGGTCTTGGGGGCCTTTCTGTGATGTATCCATTTTACTTTGTTGCTCTTTTGCTTTGATGTGTCTTCCTGGGAAATGTGCCTGGGGCCAAGGTCGTGAGAACAACTTAATTAATTGATGATGATGATGACGACGACGACGACGACGATGGAAGGGACCTTGGAGGTCATCTAGTCAAACCCCCTGCTCAGGCAGGAAACCTTATACCATTTCAGGCTGTCCAGTCTCTTCTTAAAAACTTCCAATGTTGGAGTATTCACAGCTAGTCCCCCCAAGAAAGCAGAAAACTTGAAACAGGCATTGTCTCAAAAGGAACTTTTATCGGGAGTTAGTGACAGCTAAGAAGCAAAGCAAGATCTGGAGTAAAATCCCGCGCAAGCAATATACCAAAAGCAATATTTGTTACTTCCCCCCCCCCCAGGGTCCCACTGTCTGTTTGAATCTCGGCCAATCCATCGGTGGCATAGTGTTTTGGTAACTGGCTCCTTTGGTGCACCTCTCAAGGTCTCTCTTCGTTTAGTTTCCTTCTGGTTCCAACGCAAACCGTCTTCCAGATAAGGGTGATGGTATTCGGCTGCATTCTTTGCCCTGAGGGAAGGGCAATGTGGCAAGGCCGAATGGCAGGCCCCAAGAAATGGGTACAGAAGCAAGCACGGCATAAAAAGGATTTATTTCTTTGAGGATCTGACACACTCACAACTGCCAGAGGCAAGCCATTCCACTGGTTAATTGTTCTCACCAACAGGAAATTTCCCCTTAGTTCTAGGTTGGTTCTCTCCGTGATTAGTTTCCATTCATTGCTTCTTGTCCTGCCTTCAGGTGCTTTGGAGAATAGGTTGACTCCCCTCCTCTCCGTGACAGCCCACAAATATTGGAACGCTGCTAACACGTCACCCCTAGTCCTTGCCATCGCTAAACTAGGCATGTGTGGTTCCCGCAAGCGTTCATCATACGATTTAGCCTCCAGACCCCAAATCATCTTTGTTGTTCCTCTCTACTCTCTTTATAAAGTTTCAACATAGGTTTCCTATCATGGAACACTGAAACTGTATGCGGTATTCCAAGTGTGGCCTCAATAGTGCAGTACAAAGTGGAATTGTAAAAAGACTATCCCAAGAAAACTAGCCTTTGCCCCTTCAGGGATCTTCCAGGCGACTGGCTTAACCTGCTTCTCTGCCACAGCTACAACGGCCAGCAGGGAAGGGGTGGAAGCAATTGATGCCTGGATTACAACCTGCTCCCCAGGGTTGGGGGATCTCTCTAGAAGGTAGACGTCTTCAACTGGAGGATCCCCGTTTCTCCTTCTCCCACCATGCTATGTAAGCAAACATCCGTTGCCTTTGTGAATTGTGTGGTTTTGGGGAACCCCGTGTAGTTGACTCTGTTCTGCAAGAACTCTGGAAATTCTTCACCCCTCTGCTTCAGCAGATTTGCACCATCATTTGATGTTCTCTCTCTTTTTTTCTTCCGAATAGAATAGAATAGAATAGAATAGAATAGAATAGAAATAGAATAGAATAGAAGATAGAGAATAGAAGATAAAGAATAGAATAGAATAGAAGATAAAGAATAGAAGATATAGAATAGAACAGAATAGATGACAGAGAATAGAAGATATAGGATAGGATAGGATAGAACAGAAGAGAAGATAGAGAATAGAATAGAATAGAATAGAATAGAATAGAATAGAATAGAATAGAATAGAATAGAATAGAATAGAATAGAATAGAATAGAATAGAAATAGAATAGAAATAGAATATAATAGAAATTAGAATAGAATAGAAACAGAAATAGAATGGAATGGAATAGAATAGAGGAAGAAGAAGAGGAGGAGGAAGAAGAGGAGGCGGAAGAGGAGGAGGAAGAAGAAGAGGAAGAAGAGGAAGAGGAGGAGGAGAGGAGGAGGAAGAGGAAGATGAGGAGGAAGAGCAGAAGAGGAGGAGGAGGAGGAAGAGGAAGAAGGAAGAAGAAAAGGAGGCGGAAGAGGAGGAGGAGGAAGAAGCGGAGGAGGAAGAGGAGGAGAGGAGGAGGAGGAAGAGCAGAAGGAGGAGGAGGAAGAAGAAGAGGAAGAAGAAGAGGAGGAAGAAGAGGAGGAGGAGGAGGAGGAGGAAGACGAGGAGGAGAAGAGGAGGAAGAGGAAGATGAGGAGGAAGAGCAGAAGAGGAGGAGGAGGAGGAAGAGGAAGAAGGAAGAAGAAAAGGAGGCAGAAGAGGAGGAAGAGGAAGAGGAAGAAGAAAAAAGAAGAGGAGGCGGAAGAGGAAGAGGAGGAGGAAGAGGAAGAAGAGAGGAGGAAGAGGGGGAGGAGGAGGAGGAAGAGGAGAAGGAAGAGGAGGAGGCGAGGCGGGCGGGTCCCGCAGGAGGAGCAGCCGCTGCGACAGGCGCGCCGAGGGGCCGGCAGCGGCGGCGGCGGAGGGTGGGAGGCCCGGGTTGCCTCGCCCCTCGCCCGCTTCTCTCCGCCTCGCCGGCTCCATCCTCGCCGAGCGCAGCGCCGCCTCGCCGCCGCTGCCCGGGGGCCGCCGTGGAGCTCCCGTCCGCCCGCAGCGCCGGAGCCAGAGCCGGCAGGGACGCGCGGCCCGCCCAGCATGCGGCGGCTGCGGCGGCTGGTGCCGCGGCTGCTCTTCCGCCCGCCCTCCCGGGGCCCGCAGGTGAGGCCGGGGCGGCGCGCGGGGGGCTCCGGCCGGGAGGGGGGCTTCGCCGGCCACGGGGCCGGTTTGGGAAGCGCGGCCGGAGCCGGGTCGGCCCAGGGACGCAGCCGCCGGCCCCGCTTCTCCCGCCCGGCCGCCGAGCCTCCCCAGCCGGGGGCGGAGGGCCTGGGCTGCCCCGGGCCGGCGCCTGACCCCGGAGCGCGCCCGGCGCTGCCCGGGAACGCCGCGGATGCTGTGTGAACGCGGATGATCTCGCAGGCCGGTTAAGCCGGGAGTCGTCGGTCGTGGGAATCCAGCCTGCAGTGGGCAGAAAGGCTCGGGAGCGAAGCGCCTCTTGGCCTTTGCAACAATGGACCTGGTGCCCTTCATCTTCATAAGGCTGGGTGTGTGTGTGTGTGTGTGTGTGTGTGTGTGTGTGTGTGTGTGTGTGTGTGTGTGTGTGTGTGTGTGTGTGTGTGTGTGTGTGTGTGTGTGTGTTGCAGCATCTGGAGCGATAGGAAAGAGTCTTCATAAGGCTGTGTGTGTGTGTGTGTGTGTGTGTGTGTGTGTTGCAGCATCTGGAGCGATAGGAGTCTTCATAAGGCTCTGTGTGTGTGTGTGTGTGTTGGTTGCAGCATCTGGAGCGATAGGAAAGAGTCTTAACCTTGATTGTTCCCAAATGGTGCTCCTCATCTTCATAAGGCTTTCTGTGTGTGTGTGTGTGTACGCGCGCGCGCGCGTGTGTGTGTGTGTGTTTTGTGCAGCATCTGGAGTGATAGGAAAGAGCCTTAACCTTCATTGTTCCCAAATGGACTGTTCTCCTTTTCCCAGACTTTTCCTGAGATTGCATGAAGCAAGCAGATAATTTTTTTGCAGACCTGGATGGAAAAATCTATCTCGGTTCTTTGGTGTCCAGAAAAGGCACGTTGTCCATTCTTTGACTGGGAGGGGGGGCAGCGGCTGAAATGAAGGTCAGGGCTATCTTATGAATGACCTGCTACTAAAGCAGTGGTTCTCAACCTTTTTAATGCCGCGACACCCAACCGGTCGTAAGTCGAGGACTACTCAGCCGGTCGTAAATCGAGGACTACTAAACTGGTGCAGCACCGTTTGCAGAATGGAACTTTTGGTGGGTTCAGCAGGGCAGAGACAGCCTGGACAATTCCTATTGGCTTTTGAAAGCCAATAGAATTAGACTCTATTCAAGAGAGTCTCTTCTATTGGCTTTCAAAAGCCAATAGAATAAAAGGGAGCAGCACAGCTAAGGAAAAGGGGAAAAAAATGGCGGACTGCGTTGTTTGGCGACCCCCGTGAAATGGTCGTTTGACTCCAAATGGGGTCCCGACCCACAGGTTGAGAACCACTGCTTTAGAAGCCAACATCGGTCCAGCCGTTTTATTATTTTAGCCTGGTAAAGATAAAAAGTTGGCTTGTTCCTGGAAAAACCATGCTTACTTTTTGCAGGCGTCGTGGTGTGAAGGAAGCCGGAATCCTTTGCAATCTTTTCCTCCCACAAATTTTTTTTTTAAAAATGAGCACTTCCTACCAGGAACTGTCAGGTTTTGTGCTTCTCTGGAAATTGTCCCCATTGTTTTTAAGAAGCAACTCAGAGAGAAATCACACAACTGTACCTTCATTTCGTGGCCGTTCAAAGTTACGGCATCACTGAAAAAAGTGACTGATGTGTGTTTTTCACACTTACGACCTTTGCAGCCTCCCCAAGATCATAGGTCAGAATTCAGATGCTTGGCAACCGATTCATACTTATGACGGTCGCAGTGTCTCAGGGTCAAGTGATTCCCCCTGTGAGACATTCTGACAAGGAAGGGCAACGGGGGGAAGACGCCAGGGTCACTTAACAACCCATGTGACTAACTGAACCACTGCAGGGATTCACTTAACAACTGTGGCAAGAAAGGTCGCAAAATGGGGCAAAGCTCACTTAACAAATGGCTTGCCTAGCCGCACAATTTTAAGGCTCAATTGTGCTCGTAAGTCGAGGAGTACCTGTAGTTCACTGGTGAGTGAAAAGTACTCCACTTATGCTCAGGGACATTTCTACTCTTTGTATATTTCTGCTGTTGAAAGTGCTTCTTTCAAAAGTTCAGGGCCTTTGCAGAAAAAATCCTTGAAATCTCCCAAGAGGCTCTCTCTCTCTCTCTCTCTCTTTCCTCTCTTTCTGTCTCTCTCTCTTTCCTCTGTCTCTGTCTGTCTCTTTCTTTCTGTGTCTCTGTCTGTCTCTTTCTTTCTGTGTCTCTGTCTGTCTCTTTCTTTCTGTATCTCTTTCTTTCTGTCTCTCTCCACTCTCTTTCTGTCTCTGTCTCTTTCTCTGTCTCTCTGTCTCTGTCTTTCTCTTTCTCTCTCTCTCTCTCTCCTGTCCGTCTCTATGTCTTTCTTTCTCTCCTCTCTGTCTCTCTCTTTCTGTCTTTCTGTCTCTCTCTCTCTCCACTCTTTCTGTCTCTGTCTGTCTCTTTCCTCTTTCTGTCTCTCTCTGTGTCTCTCTGCCTTTGTCTGTCTCTGTCTTTCTGTCTTTCTTTCTGTCTCTCTCCACTCTTTCTGTCTCTTTCTCTCTGTCTGTCTCTCTCCTCTCTCTGTCTGTCTGTCCGTCTCTTTCTGTCTCTCTGTCTCTCTCTGTATCTCTGTCTTTCTCTTTCTTTCTCTCTCTGTTTTTGTCTCTGTCTCTCCTCTCTCTCTCTCTCTTTCTCTCTCTGTGTGTGTCTTTCTCTCTGTTTCTTTTTGTCTCTCTCTCTCTCTCTCCATCTTTGCCCCCACCCAGGTTGATTTTTGGCCCAGAGATTAGCCAAGCCTTTTGGGGTGAGGCTGTGTGATCAGCCCTGAATCCAGAAGACCAGCCCATGGCGCTGGAAAATGTAAGATTGCTGTTCAGAGTGGCTGTTTAAAGGATGCCAGGACTTTTCCCTAAAGTCTAGCTTGGCTGGAACTCAATTCAGTACATTTATGATCAACAAGGTAGAAAGATTAAGAGCGAGCGTTCTGAATAACAGAAGAGCAGAGCTGGAAGGGATCTTGGAGGTCTTCTAGTCCAACCCCTGCTCAGTCAGTCGGGAGACCCTCTGCCTTCCAGACAAATGGCTGTCTAGTCTCTTAAAAACCTCCAGTGATGGAGCACCCACGACTTCTCCACGGTCCCTTCCAACCCTGTTTATTCAATGTTATTCTGTGAATGAAGCCAGCCAGGGCGTTCCATCACAACCCGAAGCTGAAAGTGCTCAGTTAAACTTAGTGTAAGAACCCACCCCACTTTGCATCTTAAGAAGACAGAACTCTTGGAATAATTCTTCCAACAGGCATCCTTTATTAAGAGAAAATGGTTGCAGGCTTTCTAGACAGGACTTGGGGTCCAAGCTCTTCAAAGTTTTAAGGGGCTCCCCAGTAGTCCCACCCAATCACCTCCTTCTTCCAGCGACAGTCTCAGGCATTTAGACTCTCACCCCCTTTTCCTTACTGCTGGCTAGATGGAGACTTCAGAGGAATACATGAAAGGTAATAGCCCCATTGTTATGGTTAGTCCTTTTGGTGATATCCACGTCCAGTTCCTTTGAAGTTGTACCGAAGGAAGTGAGGGCCATAAAGCCCCTTTGTTCACCCCCTTCCCTTCATTGTATGACAGAATCCAGAGAAGGCAGAAATGGGGTTTTCTATAATTGATAACTAGAGATGAAATATAATTGGATTCTGACACTTAGCTTTCTTACTGGTCTTCCAGGGGGCCTACTAGCCAGACACCAGCACAAAGTGCTGCAGCATCCATTGCAGACTTCCGGAGTGGCGCCTCGTAGCCGTTGGAACGTGCTGATTCCCCTTTTCTCCTTTTGTTTTGTTTCCCGCCTATCAGAGCCGTCTTCCTGGCATCAAAGTGAAGTACCTCTTCTTTGCCTGGCTGGGCATTTTTGTGGGCAGCTGGATGGTCTACATACATTATTCGTCCTACTCCGAGCTCTGCAGGGGACACGTCTGCCAGACAATCATTGTGAGTCTTTTCTCGGGGGGAGGGGGGTGCTCAGCCACAGGGCAGGGCAGCTTCCAGATGGACCACAACACCCTTCACGTTGAGTTGTGAGGACAGGGCCTCATGGTCCCAGAGTCTGCCGCCAAGGGGGGACTGCCGGTGGGAACACGGGGCTGGCTGGGCTCTTGGGTTGGTTCTTGGCAGTTCCTTCATTAGCCTGTTTACGATTTGATTGTTGGTCTACAGCAGTGGTTCTCAACCTTTTTAATGCCGCGACCCCCAACCGGTCGTAAGTCGAGGACTACTCAACCGGTCGTAAGTCGAGGATGACTCAACTGGTGCAGCACCGTTTGCAGAATGGGGCTTTTGGCGGGCTCAGCAGGGCAGAGACACCTGGACAATTCCTATTGGCTTTTGAAAGCCAATAGAATTAGACTCTATTCAAGAGAGTCTATTCTATTGGCTTTCAAAAGCCAATAGAATAAAAGGGAGTAGCCCAGCTAAGGAAAAGGAGGAAAAAATGGCTGACTACGTTGTTTGGCGACCCCCGTGAAATGGTCGTTCGACCCCAAATGGGGTCCCGACCCCCAGGTTGAGAACCACTGGTCTACAGATAGTCCTTCGTATAGTGACCTTTCGAAGTTACAACAGCCCTGGAAAAAAAATGACTTACGACCGTTACAGCATCCCCACAGCCCTATGATCAAAATTCAGACGCTCGGCAACCCGTTCGTATTTACGACCGTCGCTGTATCCCCGGGGGGGTCACGTGATCCCCTTTAGCGACCTTCTGACAAGCAAAGGGGGAAAGGGGGAAACTAGATTCGGTTAACAACCATGTCACTAACAACTGCAGTGATTCACTGAACAACTGTGGCAAGAAAGGTCGTAAAATTCACTTTTCAACTGTCTCACTTAGCAACAAAAATTTTGAGCTCAATTGTGGTCATAGTTTGAGGACTACCTGTACTATTAGTGTTTCTAGACCAGAGGTAGGCAACCTTGGCTCTTTGATGACTGGTGGACTTCAACTCCCAGAATTCCTGAGCCAGCCACGCTGAGGGGAAAGGGAGAGGTTTCCATGCTGAGCCATGCTGGCTCAGGAATTCTGGGAGTTGGTCCATAAGTCATGAAAGGGGCCATAGTTCCCCCATGCTGGCTCAGGAATTCTGGGAGTTGAAGTCCATAAGTCATGAAAGGGGCCATAGTTCCCCCATGCTGGCTCAGGAATTCTGGGAGTTGGTCCATGAGTCATAAAGCAGCCTAGGCCTAAGCTAGAGGTAGGCAACCTTGGCCCTTTGATGACTCGTGGACTTCAACTCCCAGAATTCCTGAGCCAGCCACGCTGAGGGGAAAGGGACAGGTTTCCATGCTGAGCCATGCCAGCTCAGGAATTCTGGGAGTTGAAGTTCACGAGTCATAAAAGAGCCCAGGTTGCCTACCCCTGCACTAGACCAACAGTCAAACAGTAAACAATCAAGAAACTAGCAACTCAGACAAACAATCCAACAGTAATTAACAGCCTAATCTCTCGCACGCGTGCCATAGGTTCGCCACCACTTGTATATGTTCTCCTGCTAGAGCAGGGGGCTGGACTAGAAGACCTCCAAGGTATCATTCTGTTCTGTCCTGTCCTATCCTATCCTATCCTATCCCATTTCTATTATTTCTATTTGTATTCTATTCTATTCTATTCTATTCTATTCTATTCTATTTTCTTTTCTATTCTATTCTATTTTCTATTCTATTCTATTATCCTCTATTCTATGCCCTGCCCTGCCCTGCGTCAGAAAAGGCTGTCCCTTGCCCACTTCTGCAGCAGCCCAGGTGTGAGTGGGAAGGAAAGACCCCTGAGGGCTCCCACTCTTACTTTAGGGGACTTCACACTCTCTGTGGACCCCATGAAGAGGCTGAGCTTATAGCTTATGATGATGATGTTCACCAGGATTATGCACAACCCATCACAAGATTGAAATGCCGTGTAAATCCAGCATGGAAAGCAGCCATTCACTTAATCTCTAGCCATCTTAACCCAGAAAATGCCTGGAGAGAGAGAGGAATGGTTCAAGTTATCTTCTTGTGGCTTGACCTTTGGCGATCCCTCTACCAAATTTGCCCCATTTTACGACCTTTCTTGCCAGAGTTGTTAAGTGAATCACTAGTTATTAAGTGAATCTGGCTTCCCCACTGACTTTGCTTGCCCAAAGGTTGCAAAAGGGGTCACATGACCACCACCACCCCCAGGGACAAAGCCACCGTCATAAATATGAGTCAATGGCCAAGAGTCCGAATTTTGATCATGTGACCATGGAGATGCTGAAACATCTGTGAAAACGACCATAATTCAACTTTTTTCAGTGCCGCTGTAACTATGAACAGTCGCTAAGCAAACTGTTGTAAATTGAAGACTTACAGTACTTAACAACCGATAAATTTGCCCAGCGTCCTTTTTTTTAATTGATTGAGGCAGTTTCTCAGTATTGATAAGTAGATAAAATGTTTGTAACCTGAGTTTATAAGACAGGAAGTGCTCATGATTCCTCATCATCCGAGCAAAAGGGATGTTCAGGGTTTCCCTCTCTTTCTTTCAGTGTGATCAATACAACAAAGGCATCATTTCGGGATCAATGTGCAAAGACCTTTGTGAGGACCACACCTTGGTCTTTGAACACTGCTTGTCACCTTCTCCCACCCAGCAGGTAGGTCCTGAGGAACTGTGTGCATGCTTTATGCTGAGGACAAGTTTCTGGTTTAGGACCTGCTGGGCCATCTCTGGAAGGATGTGGAAAAACTCTCTTTTTCAGAAAAATAACTTCAGAGAACTAAAAAAATACGTAGCCTGGTCAACACGGACTTGTGCTTCAGGTTAATATTTTTGATCTGTAAGAGAACTCCAGTTTTCTGGGGTTTTGGCAGGTCTGTCATGGAAGATTTCATAATCTCTTCTCCAAGTTTACATCTGAAATTGTAAGGACCTGCCTCAACTAGATCCCCTAAGAAAGCAGAACTCTTGAAACAGGCATTGCTTCCAAAGGAACTTTTATTGAGAGTCAGTGATAGCAGAAGAGCAAAGCAAGGTCTGAATATTTCACGCGCGAAAGGTTCCATCAAATGGCTCATTCAGGTCTCCACCCCCAGTGTCCAACTGTCCAGTTGAAATCCAGCCAATCCATAGGGGCTAGGTTGTTTTGAGAACCTAGTGATTTAGCGCCCCTCTCAAGCTCTCGGTTTCGTTTCCCAACGGTCCCAGGCTCCATTGTCTGGAGATAAGGCAGATGTTTTTCAGGCCACATTCCTTTCTCACAGAGGGAGGCCAAAGCAGAGCAAGGCAAACACATTCCCCAACCAACGAGCCTTCTCCCAACAGAATGAAAGATCCCAAAAATGAATACATAGGCATAAACAATAAACAGTAGGCAAATCTATTGGAGGGGTCCTGGCAGAAATCTTGTTCTTAAAAAAAGACTGCAATGACATGATAGCAGTCTTCCAATCCAGGCACTTTTTTTGTTGTTGTACCTTGCAAGGTCTACAGCGGCCTCTGGAAGGAGAAAGAGGTGATCATCAAATGTGGCCTGGAAGAAGCGCTGAAGGCCGACAGCAACCCAGATGCAGACCCCAGGAGAGACGTGGTTCTCTTCAACAAGCCAACAAGGGGGACATCCATGGATGAATTCCGGGAGATGCTTCTGAATTTCTTGAAAGTGAGTGCCTCTCCAGCCTTACCGTATTTCCCCGAAAAGAAGATCTAACCGGAAAATAAGCCCGTAGCCTGGTTTTTCAGGATGCTCGTAATATAAGCCCTATCCCAAAAATGAGCGCCAGTTAAGATAGTCAGCCAGACGGACGCATGTGATATGTCCGTTGCAACACACGACAGGTGTATTGAATTATAGAATCATAATATATAATACAATATAAATACATAAATGTAGATCGTTGCACATGAAAAAATAACACCTGAAAATATTTAAAAATTTAATTTAAGACCTGATCTTATTTTCGGGAGAGAATAAGAGATCTTTGAACCACCTCCGAAGGGCCGATCCGTACAGGCCTTTGCAGCATTTGATCTGGCAGGCTGCCCTTGCTGTAGAATTTGTAAGCAGGCGAGCAGACAATGGCTTTGGGTGGGAAAGAGGGCCTTTGTTTAGGGGGGGGGGTGCAATCGCCCCATGGAAGGGGGAGCCCCCAGGTTAAATGTCAAGTCTTGGAAATGATGGAATGAAACCTCTTTTATCCAAGACTGCAGGAGGGCAGTTAGAAACAAGGTTTGCTTCACTACGCCAATTCAAGGTGATGGTTGTCACCTTTTTTTATTATTAAATATTTTATTGGGTTTTATAAGGATTGATCGGAAAGGGATGGGATCAGTAGAGGTATAGGAAAGGGTAAACGTAAGAGAATTGGGGGTGGGTACAGCAAAAAATCCACGCTTAACAAGCAAGTTACCGTCCGGGTACCAAAATCAAATAAGCATCACTTATATAGTACTAAACAATTATAATAAACTGGGCTAAGAATAAAAGATATAAATAATATTCATCTTACTAAATAACCATGATTAATAAAACATTAATAAGTTATAATCACTAATGCTTAGAATCACATTCAACCAAATTAATTTCCAAAATTTTTCTCATTCTATCGTATTGCTAACGATTGATTAAAAAATTTTCCCGTGTTTTAAAGTAGATGGGGTCTTTTTTTCTCTTTGATCTCTAAAGTTAATCTCTCCATTTCTGCACTAAATTCTAAAATTTTAGTAATTGTAAAAGTAAAAGGTGATGGTTGTCACCTTGAGCCCTCTGCAGCCCCCCCCCCTTTTCCGGAAGACCTTAAAAAGCTGGCTTCTTCCCAGGGATCAGATGGGATCTGTTGAGGCTGGAGCGCAGCAGGTACGATGTGTATCTATGCACCAGGAAGTGTTGTTGTAGCGTGCCAGGAGCTTTTGGGGGATGTTGAATTTTTGGATTGTGTGCATCTTGTTGTGATGTGTTTCTTGTTGTTGTCATGAGCCACTTCTAGGTAGAAAAGATGGGCAGCTATATCAGTTTCTTAAATAAATTCCTATTTTATGTGCCATTGACTTCAGCTAAAATAAGAAGAGTGGGGATCAAATGGTTTGGACTCAAGAGGGTGCCCACCTGGCATCTAGTAAGACAGGCAGAAACCATCTTGGACTTATCCCAGCTCCCCAAGTAACCTGGCCCCGCGGGCTTTCAAGCTGAAAACAGAGCCAAGTTTGGTAAATAACCATGGTCAACAGTTCATCTCAACATTCAAAGTCTCCGTTGTCCCGTTTTGGATTTGGCTAATCTAGAGAAAAGAAGGACTACGGAGTGACATGATAGCAGTATCCCAGCATTTGAGGGGCTGCCACAAAGAAGAGGGGGGGGGTCAACTTATTTTCCAGACCACCAGAAAGCAAGACAAGAAACAATGGATGAGAACTAATCAAGGAGAGAAGCAACCTGGAATTAAGGAGAAACTTCCTAACAGTGAGGACAATTAACCAGTGGAACAGCTTCTGTCCAGAAGTTGTGGGCGCTCCATCACTGGAGGCTTTTAAAAAGAGACTGGACAGCCATTTGTCTCAAATTGCTTGACCAGGGGGGTTGGGCTAGAAGACCTCCAAGGTCCCTTCCAGCTCTATTCTATTCTAAATGTCCCTCCCTGTTTTACCATGTTGTATGTGAGGTCCTCACAAGGTGTCTTGCATTGTTGTTTTCACAGGCTGGTCTTGGGGATCAAGCCTCCCTCATCAACTTGGTGAACCAGATTATCGCCATGGCCGACGTCAGTCGGGACGGGAAGCTTTCTCTGGCCGAAGCGAAATCCATCTGGGCGCTTCTGCAGCTGAACGACTTCCTGCTGACCTTCTCCCTGCACGAGAAGGGGCACACCCCTCGGCTGCTGGGGCACTGTGGCGATCTGTATCTCACGGAGAAGATCCACCACACCTCCCTCTACACCATGGACCTTCCTCCCTTCCTGCAGCCGCTGCTGCCTTCTGCCCTCCTCAGGATCATCCACCAGTGGTTCTCCCCTGCCTGGCCCCGGCGCGCCAAAATCGCCATTGGACTTCTGGAATTCGTGGAGGAGATCTTCCACGGGACCTACGGCAACTTCTACATCTGCGAGGCCGGCTTCACCCACATGGGCTACAATAACAGATATGACTTCAAAATGGTGGATCTCAGGACGGTGGCCACGGAGACGACCATCCAGGGGTTCCTCAAGGGCCGTCACTGTGAGCAAAACGCAGACTGCACGTACGGGAAGGACTGTGTGGCGCCGTGCGATAAGCTCATGAAGCAGTGCAAGAGTGATGTGGTGCAGCCCAACCTTGCCAAGGTTTGTGGGCTCCTGCTGGAGTACCTGCTGCACGGGGCCCCGAGCGACTTGAAGGAGGAACTGCAGAAGCAGCTGAAAACGTGCACCACGCTCAGCGGCCTGGCCAGCCAAATGGAGGTGCACCACTCGCTGGTGCTCAACAGCCTCAAGACCCTCTTGTGGAAGAAAATTTCAAACACCAAATATTCTTAGAGGACCCTGGGAAGCCCAAGGACAAGGCCAGTGAGGGTGGCTCCCCTCTTCCCATCTTGGTCTCTGAGCGAGTGCGCCACAGGGGAGCCACGCAGTCTCCACAGACAGAACTTTTGGGGATGGGGAGGGATGAGAAAGAAAAGCAGTTTTTGTGGAACTGACGGGGATCTCCAGGTGAGCCTAGCTGGGGTGAGGAGAGGACAATTATCTATCTGATGTAAATAAATGGTCTCTCTCTCTCATGACTTCTGCTTCAAGGACATGATGGCTGATCCCTCGCTGGGGGAGCGAATTCAAAACAAAGGTTGGATATGTTTTGTGGGATCCATGCTGCCAACTCTCAGGCTGGCTTCCAACAGCTATAGTTTTATAATACGTGGATTTCAGTTCCTTTAGTTAACTGAAATGCAATGTATTGTGTCAGCCCAACAATCAGGTTAAGAGTACTGTGTGACGAAGTCAAATGCAGGCAGTTCTCTGACCGAGCGTCATTCCTTGCTGAGCTGAAAAATTAGATTCCTTAGCTTCAAGAGACGGGCTCACTTCCAGCTCAGCAGCACTCCGCACATTCACCAGGCCCTAAATAGAATAATTCGATGTTGTGGTATATGACAAAGACCACGTGCTCAAAGGCACGGGAGGAATTCTGCACTCAAGACCGAAAAAGGCCTCCAGGCTCACCGCGGACCCATGGTTTTCAATCTCAACTACCTCTTGTGCCTTCACGTCTATTTAAAAAAGATGACCGCGCTGGCTTTCTTTCCTGGAAGGAAGCAGAGCTGAGTCAGCCATAGAGGTAATCCTTGTTAAATGAGTCGTTTTATAACCTTTTGGCAACATTCAACAAATCACTCCAGTTGTTAAGTGCGAACGGGTAAGTGAAACTGGTTTCCCCCACTGCTTTTGCTTGTCACAAGCCAGCTGGGAAGGTCCCAAATGGCAATGGCCTGACGCTGGGACGTTGCAACCTTCGTTAACCATCCCGTGCTGGTTGCCAAATGCCTGAATTTTCATCATGCCACTGGCTGCAGTCGTACGTCTGAGGACAGTGGGGTTACCATCCATGTAGAGCAGTGGTTCTTAACCTGGGCGATATTGCCTCCCAGGGGGCGATTTCATTTTTCAGGGGGGCGATGGAATGAAAAGGGGCAACGTGGGGGCGAAGGAATGAAAAGGGGGTGATATGGGGGCGATGGAGCAAGAAGTTTTGGGGACGCTTTTGAGACTTTTTCGTACAGCGAATGGCTGTATATCTGTCGTACAAAAACATCCGATCGCTCGCTCTTAGTGGATTGAATTGTGTTTTCAAATGTTCCTCCCGCTAGCTTCAGTACAGAACACCGTACATGTCAATACGCATCGCTTATCTTCATGCGTGTTGTGCGGCAGCCTCTACCCGTACAGTGGCGCGCCATTAGCCAGAATATGGGAGATATGGGGAAAAGACTGGAAATAAATGATTTGCATCGATATGTCCTGATGAACAATTTTAAAGAAAACAAAAAAAAGTGTTTGCATAAATCGAAGAGTTATTTCCCATGTTGTGATTGAGAGGTGATGTTGGGGGAGGGGGGCGATGACAACCTCCTCATTGGCTCAAGGGGGCGATTCGTTCAAAAAGAACCACTGATTTAGAGTAGTGGTGGCGAACCTAGGGCACGTGTGCCAGAGGCGGCACTCAGAGCCCTTTCTGTGGGCACCTGCGCCGCTGCTGCTAGCGGCTTGCGCAGGTCCATTAGGCCGCTGCCTGGAGCAGCAGCCCCACAAAGGAGGCAAAGCAGCCAGCTAGCAAGCTCAAGCAGAGGTGGTAGAGCACGCCCACACTCAGGAAGCCAAAGGCCACCCCGAGCAGGGAAAGCCGGATCCCCATCGGTGCCATGGCCCCCCAGTCCCAGTTAGGATTGCGTGCCTCACCCCATCTATGCTGGGCCTCCTGCCCACTGCCCCACCCATCAGAGACCCCCTGGATCTCCCCCAACCCTGCCCGGCCCCCACAGGCGTCCCCCCCCCATGAGCAACATCGAGGTGGTCCTGCCCACCCCAGCCATACTCACCCAGTCTGATGTGACAATTGCAGCCATGGCAACCTAGTGGGCCACGCCCACCCAATGGGCCAAGCCTCCATGCCTCCCGAGGGCACTACACTGATGTGGCCCTGGCACTTTGTGATAAATAAGTGGGTTTTGGGTTGTTGTTTGGGCACGGTTTGTTTAGTGACCGTTCAAAGTTACAGCAGCACCGAAGTGACTTTAAGACCCTTTTGCACACTTAATGACTATTGCAGCATGCCCATGGTCACATGATCAAAATTCGGCTACTTGGCAACTGGGTCATATTTATTACGGTCGCAGTGTCCCGGGGTCACGTGTTTCCCGTTGGCCACCTTCCGACAAGCAAAGTCAACAGGGGAAGCCAAGATTCACGTAACAACCCGGTTACTTATCAACGGCAATGTTTTGCTTAACTGTGGCAAGGTAGGTCGTAAAGTGGGGCAAAGCTCACTTGAATGTTTCACTTAGCAACACGGATTTTGGGCTGAGCTGTGGTCGTACGTTGAGGACTCCCTGCAGTACATATGTTTGCTGCCTTGAATTGTTTATAAATGAATAAAGGCAGGATAAAATCTAATAAACCAACTATTGGTGGATGAACTTGTCAAGAGATTGTTTGGAGAATTCCCTACTGGAAACCCTCAGGCTTACAGCCAAAAGGCGATTTGGGGGCAAAGAAGGGGCAAGGCTGTTCTGGGGGGGGGGGGTGCCTGCTCTCTCCCTGAGCTATTTAGGTGCTGGCAGGCTGTGCCTGGCATAAAACAACGACAGCAGCTCCATTTCCATCTACAAGGGGTCAGTCAGGACAGAGCCCCATCACCAGCTAAGCCAGCCACAGTTCAGAGCAGCCACTGCAAATCCCCCACCCACTTGAAGCCCCCCCCCATTAGAAAGAAGCCCAGGTGGGATAAGCACGGTGCAGAATCAAAACTTGCAGAAGTCATCATAAACAAAGAAGCCATTCTGACTGAGGGAAAAATGTATTTGCAATTTCTTAATCATCGTAGTTCCATTCTACTCTGCTTTTCCTAGAATTGTAAGGACCTGCCTCAGCTATCATCTCGGGAGAAAGCATGGCTCTTCAAACAGGTGGTGGTAAGTCAGGCAGAATCATTCAAACCCCACCCCGATACCCCAGTCCACCGGTAGCCGATACAATGCTGCACAGAACTCCGAGATGTTGAGGCGATAGTGTGGTTCATCTTCGGGGGCGTTGCGACCATGGTCACAGGCTGGAACTGGCTGGTGAGAGCATGCAAGGGATTCTACTCTCAACAACCAGCCCCTCCCCATCTGAACGGCAGCGTCCTGAGGGCCCCCCCCCCCGACAAGAACACTGGATTTAATTCCAGAATTTATATTTGAGGAAGGACCATAATCCCAGGCCGGGTGAGCAAGTGGTGGATCTACTGCGGTTTCTCTTCTGGGCTGCTTTTGGAGCCGTGCCATGATCCCCTCCCCTCAGGCCAGTGAAGAGGGAGAATTGGAACTGGGACCCTCCGCCAGGGAAGGCACACCACGGGCTGAGGACGATGCGGTCCTGGGCCCCTCGCATTAGGGGAGATGGTTGACCAGACGGAGAGCTGCCTGCCTGCGCAGACACAGGAGGATCGGCTAATGACTAGCAGTGGTGCTGATAGGCAGCAGATCTCCTGACGAGCCGCACTTGATCCAAGGGCAAGGAGAGTGGATCCAAGGGCAAGGAGAGTGGAGGCAAGCCCAGACAAGGGCTGCAAGGCTACTTGGGAGGAGGTCGCCCCACCCCTCCTCACAAGGAACACCTGGAGGGGAGTAACGTGAACCTACACACTGCCCTCCATGTACCAGTTGCTTCTGCTGACTGGCTTTAAGCGCCTTGCCTGGCTGAGTGGACAGTTGGGAGCGGCTCGTGGGGCTGCCTTTTTTTGTCCTGAGAGCTGGGCAACCCCATAAGGAACATGGGCGGCGACAATGCCCATTTCTTGTGCTCCCTTCATGAAAGGCCTGGTCATCAAAGATTGTGTGGTCGGATCTTCTCCAGAAAGGGGCCTTTGAGCGCGCTGGCCAGGAAGAGGGCTTCGTCTGTTTCCAGTCGGCAGCTTTGGAGAGTCTTTAGGGCTCGGGGCCCGGAATTGGCGGCGCTTCGAGCCGTGAGCAGATAGGTGCGGATGGGGGTATTCCAAGCGGAGGCCTTTGGCGTAGGACTTCTGAAGCTTCCCTGGACAGAGGAACACACAGCGTCAGCCCCAGCATGTGGCCAGGAAGTGGGGAACAGCTGAGGCACAGAACCCCCTGGGGAGGCCCCGGGGCCAGAGGCTTCCGTGCCCTCGCCCCAGCCACGCAGAGAGGCCCTTCTTTGAATTTGCCAATCTCTCTTGGGGTCTAATATAAACTGTTATCCTGAAATGGGGTTGCTATCTTGCTTATTTATTTATTTATGAGACTTATATACCGCTTTAAGTGCAAGCATTCTCTAAGCGGTGTACACCAGTAAGCAATGTGTATATATTGCTTCCTGCTTTACTACCGGCTTTGTTGGCATTTGTTGGTATTTAGACAGAACAAAGTGAGAAGAAACATTCTAAAGCAGTGGTTCTCCACCTGTGGGTCGGGACCCCATTTGGGGTCGAACGACCATTTCACGGGCGTCGCCAAACAACGCAGTCCGCCATTTTTCCCCCCTTTTCCTTAGCTGTGCTACTCCCTTTTATTCTATTGGCTTTTGAAAGCCCATAGAATAGACTCTCTTGAATAGAGTCTAATTCTACTGGCTTTCCAAAGCCCATAGGAATTGTCCAGGCTGTCTCTGCCCTGCTGAGCCCGCCAAAAGTCCCATTCTGCAAACGGTGCTGCACCAGTTGAGTCGTCCTCGACTTACGACCGGTTGAGTAGTCCTCGACTTACGACCGGTTGGGGGGGGGGGGTCACGGCATTAAAAAGGTTGAGAACCACTGTTCTAAAGTGTTCATTAGCAGGGCAGCCATAAAAATCCTCTCTTGGCAAAAACAACAATGAAAAGGTCGATTTTGTCACAATGCCACTGGTCCCCGAACCACACCAGAGCGAGAGGCTTGTTCTCATAAGTCTTCTCGTGCTCAAAGAACTTATCTAGGCTGTGAGCCTTCACAATCTCCTCCAACTTATCGGAAAACAGCACAGCATCTCCATCAAAGGCCACACGAAGCTGCTTCTCTGAAACTTGCACATCTTTCTTGGGGGTGCAAATAGTGGCAGCTGCCATCCCTGGCAAGGGAGGGAGGGAAACCTCCTTCAATTCAGGTTGCCTAATGCTCTCTAGTTAGAGCAAGAACCCCACAGACTTCAGTGAGGTCTATTTAATGCTAGTCGGGGGATAACCGGTGAATTTGGGAAAACAGAAAAAGAAACTTCCAAGTCTCCTTTATAATGGCAAAAACTCTGAATGATTTGAAATGCTTCTTACTAGCTGGCTAAATTGCCATTTGTGAGATCAGCTGTCAAGGAGGATTCCCTAAAAGTCTCTTCCCTGTTAAAGTGTCCCCCAATCGTGTGAGCTTCCAACTCTCTGGGACTTAGTAGCTGGTCAATGCCTTTGATCGGTTGAGTCCTTCGTTTGGTGGCGAATCAAGATCACACATGGTAGAAACAATAGCTCTTTATTCCTCCTTCTGCTCACTCCAACAACGACGAGGCTCGCAGGCCTCCTTAAAGTGTCCGGATCCCCGGACAAAATAGCAACAGTTAATGGCGCGCTTTCGCATCTCGCGCATGCTCACGAAGCTGGCACCTCTCAGTCTGGTCCCGGGCAGCTTGCAGAAACCCCTGTTGTGTCCTGAGCTTTTGCAGGCTCAGGACACAACAGGTTTTATGCCAATGAGCCAACAAGATCCTCACATTCTCCCGACTGGCAGAGACTCCAACCTGGAGGGGCTGTTGTTTGGGAGACGGAGAGTAGCTGCCTTCAGGGTAGCGTGAGGGTGCAGCCTTCCCGGTTGTTGGGGGAGCCGTTGGTTGGAACATTGGTTAAGAGAAATGAAGAACTCTCTATAGAGGCCAGCCTTGCCGTCACCACTTGGGTCGTAACAGCCTTTTGCAGTCAAATCCAAAAGAAAGTCACATTTCTGAAGCATTCCTTCCAACACAATTCTGCAAAAGTGCCCATGGACGCTGGATGAAAGAAGCCAGGTGACCCAAAGGGATGGTGAATTGCAGCCTCCTGAACTCAAATCAAAAAAGGTCTCTCTCATCATGCGCCCATGATGCTGCTGTGCAGAATGAAGTCACATTTCATACTATTGTAAGTGTTGCATTTTTTTTTTTAAAAAAAAAAAACACCTATCCAAAGGAATGCCGTCCTCCATCTGCCTGTGGTACAACGGGTCCTGCAGGAGTTGGACCTCATGGCCTCTCAGCTCCCACGTAAGACTCAGAACAAAACATCTTCATGATGGCCAATGACTAGAAAAGTAGACATTTACGTTACATAACGTACACGGCTTGGACAGAATTGTATATAAATAGGTCTTCATTGAGTCCTCAAGGAAGCAAGGTAAAATAAACCATGAGAAACAAGAAGTAAACTGCTAAAAGATGAAGGGCTTCAGCCAAGTGTATATTGTTTTTAACTTTTCATCAAATAGTTCTTCTTTCTGGACTTATTAAAATGCAAGCATTTTTGTAGCAGACGTGAGACCAAGTAAAACTACTCTGCAAAGATGTAAAAGAAAAACCAGATTGGAGGTTTTTCTGCAGAGAAGCTATACAGAAATTGAGGCAGCAAATTTATAATAAAGGCGTATATAAATGCACACACGGGCGGCAAATTTGTAAACTTGTGAACTTCAACTCCCAGAATTCCCCAACCTGCATGGCTGGCTGGTTGAATTCTGGAAGTTGAAATCCACAGTTCTTAAAAGTTGCCACGGTTGGGCACCTCTGCCATAAAGCCTCTTTGGAGAGGATTGCTAGATTTTAATGGAGCATTTACACTAAGGCTCTTTCCAGATGAAACCACTTCATGGACTCAGGTGCGTTCATTGCCAGGAACAAACATTCTTGGGTTTTCTTCCACGATGGCTCTTGAACTTCTCAGCCAAGTCTACCATTCCCAGGTTTCCCCACCCAGATGGAAATGAGGACCAACCTTCCCTGACTTCCAAGCTTGGGAAAAAAAAAAAAAAGCCATCCAGAATTTTCCACCTGGGGTTTTCCATAGTCGATAACTAGAGATGAAATATAATTGGATTCTGACAGAGCATAGAATCCAAGGGCCAGGCAGTCCCAGGGCCACCCAGCTGTGGGAAGAGGGGAAGGTGACCAACCAGGAGGAGAGATACTTGTAGGAGCAGATCACCTGCTGTGGAGGGCCAGCAGAGATGACAGGCTCCAGACCACCTGATAAGGACCAGCTGCTTTCCCAACCTGCACCATCCCTGATGCTGCCTCCTCTGCTGATCCAAGGACACAGAGAGCAGTGGAGGAAAGCCCAGAGGCGGTTGGAGAAGTGAGGATGCAGCCCCAGCCCTCTTCACAAGGATCAGCCAGTTAAGAGTGTGTTTGCCGGAAACACCTGTTTGCGTTGGGTGCACACCTTGTTGGCTTTCGTAGACTTTCTTGAACCTTCAACCGTATTTTTGGGCTCTAGACCTCAGACTTTGAGCTTCAAACTTGCCTTCCTGTCTTTGGAATTTTGGACCCTGTTTTGGCTTTCAGAATCTTAAAGCTGTGTTGTGAGGACTGGGATACTGTGAGCGGTCTGTTCCTTGTGCCTCGGAATTCAGTTTGTGGAACTATGTAGCTCTGGCAGAGGGGGATTATGGATAGGGAAAGTGTGGTGGAGCTTTACCAGCCCCACTGGAGAGTTGTTGGGACATTGTGTGAGTAATAAACTGACTTTTAACTAACACCTGCCTTGCCATCGTGGGTCAGGTCAAAACAGTCCCAAGTTTTCGATTTGCTGAACTGAGGAAGACCGGAAACGGTTCAGAATTGGAATTGAATTCTATATTCAAAATGAAACATTTTCTACTTCTACTTACGGCGCTCAGAAAACATTTGTGACTAAAAGAGAATAAAGGCAGATGAAGACACTAAAAAAATGTTTTGGGAAAGTGCTTAATTCAATTTTCCCTGTCTTACAGAATGCACAATCTGCCAAGAGCAATTTTTGTGAAGTTATTACAGCGTCAAAATTCATTTGAACACTTACAATATTACAGTGCAATCTTACCTTTCAGAGCTCATTTTAAACATCTGTTAAAGAGCCAGCATCACGTTCCTATAAACAAAGCGGTTGAGTTAATTTGGATTCAAATCAATGTGTCAATGATTCAACAAAAACATGCTTTTTGAAAATTCCTAACATCATGGATGAACGGAAACCTGATAAATACTCCAAGCCTGACTTGCATTTTCTAAACCTTAAAAGAGCAAGTGAAGTACTAGAAATGGTAGTGTGTTCCTGTTCATTTGGAGGGGGAAAAGCTGAACTTAGTACTCTTGGAAATAATTTACACACAGCATCCAATCCAGTCTTAAATAATATTTGGGGATCAGCCCCTACAAAGGATCAAAAGAAAACTTGCAATTTTGTCAGGCTAGTAATCATTCTGAGTTGCCCACCCATCAGAGCACTGAACGTAGACCTAGCCTGCTTCTCTGTGCCACCTATTGACACAAACACAGCACAGAAGCCATGCCTGCAACGCCTGTAGGGGCAGCCCCCAACCCCGGGAATGCTTTGGAGAACAGGACAATCTGCAGGTGCCTCCCTTGCGGTCACTTTAGATTTGCAGGTACGCAAATCTCTGCCTCTCCTCTTTTAACATCTTTCATTTTGCCATGAAGCTCCATGAACCCCCTCCTCTGAGTTGGCCTTACCAGCATCGCCTTCCTGCTGTTCCCTCTTTCCTAGCCGGTTACTTCTGAAAAGTTGGTTAGCTGAAACAGCTGCACGTGCAACACCTGGATGGGCAACGATCTCCCAGGAAGTCAGACTCATCACTGCTCAAGGGAGGACCTCCTGGACACAGGGGGGGGGGGCTTCAATCCTACAACAGAATGAAAAAGAAAAAAGTGAGACCAAACCAGCCATTCACACCCACATTTATAATTCCAAGTGGGGCTCATAGCACAAACACTTGGAGAAACTTAATTGCACCAGAGGCTAAGACAAGAAATGATGAAAACTAATCAAAGAGAGAAGCAACCTGGAATTAAGGAGAAACTTCCTGACAGGGAGGACAATTAACCAGGGGAACAGTTTCACTCCAGACTTTGCAGGTGCTCCATCACTGAAGGTTTTTTAAGAGAGTGGACAAGCCACTTGTCTACTTCTCCTCCTACCCTATCTCTAATTCTCCTATTTTACCACTACTCCCTACTCTACTCCACCTCTCCTACTCACTTCTACCTGCGGGTGCTTCTTTACTGGAGGATTTTTAGGAGACTGGACAAGCCACTTGTCTACTCTCCTACTCTACCTCTCCTCCTACCCTATCTCTAATTCTTCTATCCCACAACTACTCCCTACTCTACTCCACCTCTCCTCCTACTCAACTTCTCCTACCCTGTGGGTGCTCCATCACTGAAAGCTTTTTAAGAAGAGACTGGACAAGCCACTTGTCTACTCTCCTACTCTACCTCTCCTCCTACCCTAATTCTCCTATTCCACCACTACTCCCTACTCCACCTCTCCTCCTACTCAACTTCTCCTACCCTGCGGGTGCTCCATCACTGGAGGCTTTTTAAGAAGAGACTGGACAAGCCACTTGTCTACTCTCCTACTCTACTCCTACTCTATCTCTAATTCTCCTATTCCACCACTACTCCCTACTCAACTTCTCCTGCCCTCTCTACTCTCCCACTACCCCCTACTGTACTCCAACTCTCCTACTCAACTTCCACTCCTACCCTACCTCTACTTCCTACTCTACTCCCTACTCCTACCCTACTCTCTAGTCCGAAGGCAGGCGAGACCGTTTCTAGCCTTCCTCCCTTTGGAGACAAGGGCTGCAACCACGCCCGCCCACCAGTCCCGCTGGCGGCTCCAAAATACCGGAGCAGGCGGCCCCTGCTTCCGAGTGCACCGAGGCTCCCCTCAACCGACTCCACCCACCCCGCAAGAGGAAATGGCAAAAGCCACGAGGAAGCGGGGGAACCCACGCCGCTTCGTCCTCCGCTCCCCCGCAAGGCAAGTCCACGCGGAGGCTGAGCGGGCACCTGAGAGGACCCCGAGCGAGACCCCCCTCGGGAAGTCCCCGCGGCGTGGGTGGGTGTGGAGGGAGCCCCCCCTGCACTGACACCAGCTTGACTTGCAAGCGGCAGAGACCGGCGGCTCTGCCCTTCCGCTTCACCCGGCTTCGCGCCGCCAAGCTAAGCCGGCCCCGTCTTCCCCAGCCGGCTGAGGAAGATGGGAGCTGTAGTTCACACCCTGCTCGCACCGTCCCGACGGCCGCCAGCAGCGCCCTCCGAAGCGCGTGAAAGGCGCGCTCGACGTACTTCGCAGCGGCCGGCCGCAGACTCACTCGCCGAACCCAGCAACAAATGGCCGCGGGCGCGCGGGCTTCGCCTTATATAGCGAGAGGAAGTAGGCGGAGCCGCTGAGGAGCGCGCGCGCGCGCTCGCTCAGGCGCGACGGAAAGCCTCGAGGGACAAAAAGCCTCCTGTTTCGCCAGCCTTTTTTTTTTTTTTTTTTTTATAACTAGGGAAATCAGACGGGAGGAACTGCAAGAGAGTTCTCGACTTATCACCACACTTGAGCCCGAGGTTTATGTTGTTAAGAGAGACGTTTGTTAAGTAAGGCTTGCCCCTCTTTAACGACCTTTCTTGTCACGGTTGCTAAGTGAAGCACAGAAGTTCTTCGGTTAGTAACACAGTTGTTAAGTGAACCTGGCTTTTCTCCCCCCCCCCCCACATTGCTGGCCAGGTCACAAAAAAGGGATTTATTTATTTATGTATTTATTTATGAGACTTATATACCGCTTTAAGTGCAAGCACTCTCTAAGCGGTGTCCACCAGTAAGCAATGTATATATATATATATTTACATTGCCCCCAACAATCTGGGTCCTCATTTTACCTATTTTATTTTATTTATTTATTTATGAGACTTATATATACCGCTTTAAGTGCAAGCACTCTCTAAGCGGTGTCCACCAGTAAGCAATGTATATATATATATATTTACATTGCCCCCAACAATCTGGGTCCTCATTTTACCTATTTTGTTTATTTTATTTATTTATTTATGAGACTTATATATACCGCTTTAAGTGCGAGCACTCCCTAAGCGGTGTACACCAGTAAGCAATGTATATATATATATATATATATTTACATTGCCCCCAACAATCTGGGTCCTCATTTTACCTACCTCGGAAGGATGGAAGGCTGAGTCAACCTTGAGCCGGTGAGATTTGAACCACTGACCTGCTGAACACAGTCAGCTAAAGTGGCCTGCAGTACTGCACTCTAACTGCTGCGCCACCTCGGCTCTTAATAATGTGACCCTGGGACACTGCGACTGTCGTAAATATGAGTCAGTGGTGTTTGGAGAGAAACACCTAATTAATGGAGACGTGGCCCTTTGTAGAAATTAAGATTTTATTACTGATTTAGAATTCAAAACCAACACAGCGCAGGCAACTTCGAAAAGCAAACCTGTCTTAGAGACTCAGTTATAACTCTCGCCCTTTCCACACTTTCGATGCTGTCAACATTTGCTCCATAATTTATTTTTTTAACGATGGAAAGAAGAAGAACGGTGGGTGAGAAAAGCTGATCACAACACCACCCATATTTTCTTTCCATCTGAGCAGCTGCGCACATCTTTAATTTAATTTTTTTTAAAAAAAAAATTAAAGAAACATAAGACAAAATGGCAGTTTCTGCTTTCGGAGTGAAAGAGATTTCTCGCAAGCAGAAATAAGTTTCCTGGAAACTAAACTCAAGATTATTTCAAGGAATTGGTGGTTTGTTTATTTGTTTGTTTGCCATGAGATTCCTTAGAGATGGAAATGACCATTTGGGGGGGGGGGAAGTAATATTTTGATACGGAAAATCCAACTGCTTATTCCTCCCACAGAAAGTAAGCAAGCTAACCGACAATGCGGATGAATGCTCAGAAAGCATGTACTAACTCTCTGAGTTATGGCTACATACAGATAGTCCTCAACTTATGACCAGCCACTTATAGGCTGTTCAATGGATCCCCCAGAAGACACGACCCAGTTCCAAAGTTGCAACAGCCAGGCATCTTCCATATTCATGTTAAGTTTTGGGTGCTCAGCCACCAGCCCACGTTTACAACTGCTTGCAGTGTCCCGCAATCAGGTGACCACATTTGATGACATTTTTGTCAAAACCCAGCATCTCCTTCTATTTTTTGGCAAAACACACCCCATGGGGGGGGGAGGAGGGAGGGTTAGGTAACAACCGCAGGATTCTCTTAATGATTACTGCAAAAAAAAAAAATTGGGTTGGTCACCTGGGTCATCACAACGTATGACCGTAATGGGCAGATTCCATTACAGTCATAATTCAAGGATTAGATGTATATAGTTTAGGAGGAAAATGGCTTTATCCACCAAATTAAGATATAAACTGCCCTCCAGGGAATTAGCCAAACAAAAGGATTGCAACTGGTCTCAACTGTAGCTTGTGGCTGACTACCTCTCCAATCCATACTCCTGAATCTGACAAGGGCTCTCTTCCAGTCAAGGTTCATCTTCTACCAAGCTGTGATATGGAAACCAATGAAGGAGGAGGACCAAACGCCCTCTAGATCAGTGGTTTTTAACCTGGGCGATATTGCCCCCCAGGGGGCGATTTTATTTTTCAGGGGGGCAATGGAACAAAAAGGGGGCGATATGGGGGCGATGGAGCGAGAAGTTTTGGGGAAAACTTTTGAGACTTTTTTGTACAGTGAATCGCTGTATATCTGTTGTAAAAAACATCAGATCGCTCGCTATTAATGGACTGAATTGTGTTTTCAAATGTTCCTCCCGCTAGCTTCAGTACAGAACGCCGTACCTATGTGAAGACGCATCGCTTATCTTCGTGTGCGTTGCGCAGCAGCCTCTACCCATACAGTGTTGCGCCATTGGCCAGAATATGGGAGATATGGGAAAAAGATTGGAAATAAATAATTTGCATCGATATGTCCTGATGACAATTTTAAAGTAAACAAAAAAAAGTGTTTGCATAAATTGAAGAATTATTTCCTATGTTGTGATTGAGAGGTTATTTTAGGGGAGGGGGGCAATGACAACTTCCTCACTGGCTCAAGGGGGCGATTCGTTCAAAAAGGTTAAGAACCACTGCTCCAGATCATAATTTATCCCCAGCACTTCGGCTGCCAATTCTTGCGTGTTTGGTGCAGTGTCCAGTGACATTCATAATTTTAAAAATGGCGACTCAAAGGTGTAGACTGAAGAGGAAAGGTAAAGCGAGTGGCATCAACATAGAACAGAACTGGGGGGGGGAACCCTCTGGCCCTCCCTTGCAGCATCCCTAAGAGTTAATGGGAAGGGAGGCTGGGATCTGCACCCTCTGTTTCCCAGGCTTGTAGTAGAGCAGTGGTTCTCCACCTGTGGATCGGGACCCCATTTGGGGTCGAACGACCATTTCACGGGGGTCGCCAAACAATGCAGTCCGCCATTTTTTCCCCCCTTTTCCTTAGCGGTGCTACTCCCTTTTATTCCATTGGCTTTTGAAAGTGAATAGAATAGACTCTCTTGAATAGAGTCTAATTCTATTGGCTTTCAAAAGCCAATAGGAATTGTCCAGGCTGTCTCTGCCCTGCTGAGCCCGCCAAAAGTCCCATTCTGCAAACGGTGCTGCACCAGTTGAGTAGTCCTCGACTTATGACCGGTTGGGGGTCGTGGCATTAAAAAGGTTGAGAACCACTGTAGTAGAGGGAGGCTGACGAACGGGAGATTCGGTCCGGCAGGTATGCAGACACTAATCGTGGCTTGAGGAGCCAGAATGCCCTTTCTCCTCATCCACCCTAGGCGTCGGGCGCTGGAGGGTGCCCCTGGGGCTGGCCGACTTCTTCTGCAGCCGGAATATAGCCTCAAGGTGCCTCCTCTTCTCCTTGGCCCTCAAGATGGTGGTCTTGAAGAGCGACAAGTAGAGGTGGATGGCCGAGGGGCTGTCGTCGTTCCCCGGAATGGGGTAGGTGATGAGGGAGGGGTTGCTGTTGGTGTCCACCACGGCCACCGTGGGGATGCTTATCTTGGCCGCATCCCGGATGGCCAGGTGAGGCTCAAAGACGTTGTTGAAAGTGTTGAGGAGGATCAGGAGGTCCGGCAGGCGGACCCCGGCGCCGTACTGGACGCGGGCGTTGGTCAGCAACCCCCCCTGCCAGTAGCGGGTGTGGGCGTACTCCCCGCACTCCTTGGCCACCGTCTCCACCCGGTGGGAAGTCTGGCGATGGCGGCTGACGAACAGGATGATGCCCTTGCGGAAGGCGACGTGGGCTGTGAAGTTGAGGGCCAGCTGGAGGTGCTGCGCCGTCTGCTCCAGGTCGATGATGTCGTGGTCCAAACGGCAGCCGAAGAGATACGGCGCCATGTATCTGCGGAGCAAAGAGCCAGACTCACCAGGGGGGCTCTGAAGCCGCCCCCCCCCCAGGCCAGATCAAGAGGCAACCAGGACTACAGGATGATCTCAGGACGCCCCTCCCACCCACCCCCGTGAGAGAGGAGGCGGCTGTACAGGTAGTCCTCAACGTACATCACAATTGAGCCTGGAAATTTATGTTGCCAAGTGGAACCTTTGTCAAGGTGAGCGTTGCCCCATTTTACGACTTTTCTTGCCCCCGCTGTTCAGTGAATCACTGCAGTTGTTAAGTTAGTGGCACGGTTTTTTAATGAGTCTGGGTTCCCTTGTCAGAAGGTCGCAAAAGGGAATCACGTGACCCTGGGGCGCTGTGACCGTCGTAAATACAAACCAGTTACCCAACACCCGAATTCTGATCACCGGATCCGTCGTTAAGTGTGCAAAACAGTCATTAAGTCACTTTTTTCACTGCTCTTGTTAACTCTGAACGGTCACTAAATGCAATGTTGTGGAAAGCGGGCCTGGCCCTTGAAGGACAAGGGGAAGAGTAGCTACCAAAACAGATAACAGAAATTTTAAGTCTAGGACAGGGACGTAACCGTAAAAGCCTCTCCCCCCCCCCCCGCGTTGTCACAAAGGTAAAAACAAGGTGGGGGACGCACGTGGAGACTTGCCGGGTCAATCTGACCTAAAAGTAATATCGATCCATGGGACTTTGGGTTTCCTATAGTCCAGCCTACCTTGAAGAGCTAAGAACAGTAGTGGCGAACCTATGGCACACGTGCCAGAGGCGGCACTCTGAGCCCTCTCTGTGGGCACATACTCCGTTGTCCCAGCCCCACCTCATCCCACAGCCCCCTCCTCACCAGCAGCCCCCCTGGAGGCTGGGGGTATATTTTGTAATTTTTGTAAAACTTTTTAATAAAAAAAAAGGCAGTTGTAGAATTGAGTGTGGTTACATGCTGACAATCTACAACAACCGACAACAAATTTCTGAGCTTATTTCTGGCGATAAGTCGAAAACTACCTGTACAGCTCTGATGTTCCCTATTTTACAGGCAGGAAATCAACCAGCCAGACATAAGAAACTAAGTCAGTGCTTCCCAAACCTGGGTCAACCATCCAAAATTGAGCAAAAGTGGAACGGGGGGGGGGGCTTGTAACAATACACAATACAAACATCACAACAGGGACATTGACTTGAAAGAGTTTTACCTAGATTGCTAAAAAGGACTTTCTGATAAGCAGTTTTGGATAATGAAGGAAAAGGTTTGGAAAGCAGGGACCTAAGCAATGCCGGGTTGGCTGGGACCCCCAGCCCCTCTCGTCCAGTAGCCTGTTCTCAGAGTGGCCAGCCATTTGTGCCAGGAAGCCCACTGGTGGGGGGGGGCTTCAGAGGGCGTCCCACTGCCACCCGGGATGGCTCCCTCACTATCTGAAAGGCAGCCCGGCTGGTGGCCAGCATCTCACCCCAGGTTCTCCTCCTGCTCTTGACTCAAAACAGGCACAACAATATTGAGCAATGAGCTTCAAAAGCGTCTGTATTTGAGCAGTTTTTGGGGGAAATGGATTTGTTTCAGGTGAAATAAAGCTTAAAATGAGGGGTCAGCAGAGCGAAAAAGCAGGCGGTGGAGAAAAGCTACATAAACTAGCAAGATGCTTCCCCCAGGAAAATGCCAATCTGACCCTTGAACAAGATCGTATCGCGCTGTAATGAAAAGGCTCCCTTCTGTGCAGAGATTCCCAGTTAACCAAAGAACGCTTCACTGAATTAACCAGCTGCTTTATTCACACAACTATGACTGAACGTTGTTAACATCTAATAGAGATAACCAACATCTCAGCCCCCCCAAATATTCAGCTGCATTTTATCAGCGAGTGGGGTGGGAAGGAAGTAAAACACACACCTACCTATCACTTACACGCCAAAAGTCCCAACTTAATTTTGTTGTGAATTACACAATGCCAATATTCTATTCTATTCTATTCTATTCTATTCTATTCTATTCTATTCTATTCTATTCTATTCCATTCCACTCCACTCCATATTCCATTCTGATTCTGTTCAGTTCAGTTATTCTATTCTATTCTATTCTATTCTATTCTATTCTATTCTATTCTATTCTATTCTATTCTATCCTATCCTATTCTATTCTATCCTATCCTTATCCCTATTACTATCCCTATCCCTATCCTAACTGAATCTCAAGAAAATCTGAGGACAATCCTAGTTACAAAAACAGGAAAGCTGGGTGACTCAAAGGCTCGATTCAAACAACGTGCTAGCCCAGGCTACAGTGGGTGGCACCATGGTTGTGGGAATGAGGGTATAAAATCTGCATGCTGCCTGTTAGCCGCTCAAGGATTATTTCTTTAGACCAGGGGTTGGGAACCTTGGCTCTTTTATGACTCGTGGACTTTAAATCCCAGAATTCCTGAGCCAGCATGGCTCAGCTAGGAAACCTCTTCCTTTCCCCTCAGCGTGGCTGGCTCAGGAATTCTGGGAATTGAAGTCCACGAATCATAAAAGAGCCAAGGTTGCCTACCCCTGTTTTAGACCTAACCAAAACATGGCAACTATGTTTTGGCAATCCGGGCTGAGAATCCAGTGCTTTGTGCGAACCTAGCTAAGGAGTTTGCTTTGTCGTGGTTTGCAAGAACTGACCTGTGGCGGCTGCTCTTCTTGTGGCCGAGGTGGACTCGAGCGTCAAAGAGCTCCTGCACAGAAAAGAGCTCCTGCAGATTGAAAAAGTCCGCATGCTTCAACGGCTCCTGCAGGAGCCTCTCCTCAATATCTGCAAGAGAAACCAAGCACAGCTTCAAGGAGAAGCACCCACCAGAATCAGACCTCAGTTTCCCCACGGGCAAACACGCAGCTACCAGCTCCACACCGGCTTCCTTCTCCCACACTTGCTCCAGGATCCTCTGCCGCTTTCCTCACCATTTTGAGCCCCCAGCCCTGGAGACTTACCATCCTCTGGCCGGCTCACTGCAGCGACCGAGAGGGTCTCGTGGTGCCTTAGGAGGCCAGACGTGGACCTCACGACAGTCCCACACCTGCTGGGCCGAAGAAGGGCTGCTGCGGGGGAGAGGGAGAAGGCGAGGAGTGAAGGGGGCGAGGAAAAGAAGGAGACGGCGCTGCAGTCCAGCTTGTCTTATGTCAATCACAGGAATGGGGAGGCAGATACCACAGTTTTTGTGAAGCCCACAACCGTAGGGATTCTTGATGTTTGCCATACCGCAGCCCCCTCCCCGTATCTCCCCCTTGCCTGCTTTGAGATGCTGAACTTCAGGCTGGCCAGGGGATTCTGGGAGTTGGAGTCCGGCATCTCAAAGCGGGCAGGGGGGCAGGAAAGGCAGGCTGGGCAAATAGTCCTAGACCAGGGGTAGGCAACCTTGGCTCTTTTATGACTCGTGAACTTCAACTCCCAGAATTCCTGAGCCAGCATGGGGGAAACTTTGGCCCCGTCATGACTTGTGGACTTCAACTCCCAGAATTCCTGAGCCAGCACGGCTCAGCTTGGAAACCTCTCCCTTTCCCCTCAGCATGGCTGGCTCAGGAATTCTGGGAGTTGAAGTCCACGAGTCATAAAAGAGCCGAGGTTGCCTACCCCTGGCCTAGACTTACAACAGCTTACTTAGTGATGGTTCAAAATTGCAACATTAACGGAAAATGCTGACGTGATGGTATTTCTCACACTTACGACCACAGCAGCGTCCCCAGGGTCAGGGCATCAAAATTTAGACACTTGGCAACTGACTCATACTTATGACGGTTGCAGTGTCCCAGGCTCACGTGGGCCCCTTGTTCGATCCAGGGGGAAGCCAGCTTCACTTAACGACTGCGTTACTAACATTTAACTGCAGTGTTTCGCTTAACGTCCGCGGAAAGGTCGTAAAACGGGACCAAACATCGCCAATGTCCCACTCAAAGGTAGAAGGTTTGGGCTAAGCTGTGGCCGTATGCTGAGGACTACCTGCTTGCGCAAAGGAAGCCAGCCCAAAGCATCGGAGACGGGGGCGCGGGGCCTGGCAGAGACCCCCCCCCCATCACGTCGGAGCTGTGCAAGGCGCGCCCCCGACTCGCCCGGGCCTACATACTCCCAGCCCGCCCGGCGCCGAAGCTCCCTCTCCTCCCCGGACCAAGGGCCAGAGCCCCGTCCCCGCGCGGCCATCCCCCCAGCCCGAACGCCGCCCGCTTCCCCGGCCACCTGTCCGCCATAGGAGCCTGGAGGCCGCCATGTCGGCTGCGGGCGCATGCGCAGCTCGTTCTCCTTCGCGTCGGAATCCGGGGCGGGGCGAGCCGCGGCGGATCCGCCCCCCGAATGGCTCCGCCCAGCGGCCATGAATCGGGGACATCCGCTGCGCCCTGGTGGGCAACCTGGGCTCTTTTATGACTGGTGGACTTCAACTCCCAGAATTCCAGAGCCAGCCATGCTGAGGGGAAAGGGAGAGGTTTCCATGCCGAGCCATGCTGGCTCAGGAATTCTGGGAGTTGAAGTCCCCGAGTCATGAAGGGGCCATAATTCCCCCATGCTGGCTCAGGAATTCTGGGAGTTGAAGTCCACCAGTCATAAAAGAGCCCAGGTTGCCTACCCCTGGGCTAGGCTGTCTTGGGATGCTGGGGGAAAGGGGTCAGTTTTGCTGATGGTTTCCGAAGGATCCTTCTCACTTTGGGGTCTCCTGTGATGGATTTGGCTTCCTGCTCCCCAAAGGAAGCTGGAAGGGACCTTGTAGGTCATCTAGTCCAACACCCCTCCTCCCCCGCGTGCCCAAGCAGGAGACCCTACACCAGGGGTCTTCAAACTTGGCCCTTTTATGGCTTGTGGACTTCAACTCCCAGAATTCCTCAGCCAGCCTCCATTTTGTTTGTTAGATTTAAGACAGGGGTCTTCAAACTTGCCCCTTTTATGGCTTGTGGACTTCACCTCCCAGAATTCCTCAGCCAGCGTGCCTGGCTGAGGAATTCTGGGAGTTGAAGTCCACAAGCAGGGCTCTTCAAACTTGGCCCTTTGATGACTTGTGGACGCGGGCTGAGGAATTCTGGGAGTTGGCTGAGGAATTCTGGGAGCTGAAGTCCATCAGTCATCAAAGGGCCATGTTTGAAGACCCCTGTCTTAAATCTAACAAACAAAATGGAGGCTGGCTGAGGAATTCTGGGAGCTGAAGTCCACCAGTCATCAAAGGGCCAAGTTTGAAGACCCCTGTCTTAAATCTAACAAACAAAATGGAGGCTGGCTGAGGAATTCTGGGAGCTGAAGTCCACCAGTCATCAAAGGGCCAAGTTTGAAGACCCCTGCCCTACACCATTTCTGACAGAGGGCAGTTTGTGTGGGGGGAGAGGATCAACCTTCTTTGCCTCCCCCCCCCTCCCCATCAAGGGTCGCCACTTCGGACTGTTGCAGGCAAGCTACTATTGCTTTAAATGCGTCGGATGCCCCACGCGTTTTCCCTAGCAACCTGGTTTCCTAGCAACCTGGGCTTGGTTTCCTAGCAACCTGGGCTTGGTATCCTAGCAACCTGAGCTTGGTTTGTTTCCACGCCAAAGCCGGCGCTTGGGTACCGGGCGGGTCCTCCGCCAGGCGCTTCTCTTCCTTCGGACGGAGGCGGGCTTTGCCCTGAGCGACCCCCGCCCGCCCGCCCAGCCCTTCCCATGGCCGAGGAGCCGGATCCCGAAGCCGCCGTTGCCGCCTTGAGCAGCGCGGAGGAAGGCAGCGCAGCCCAGAGAACCAGCGATCATTACCGGGTGAGCCAGGACTTACCTGCCCGGTTCAACCACCCGGGATGGTTTCGAGGTTACAGGTGAGCGGAAGGGCCGGAGCCCGCTGGAGAAGCAGGCGGAGCTCGCAAGGTCGGGGGAGGGTCTGACACGTGGAGGGAAGGAGGGAGGGGCGTCTTGGCCCGGTTGGGACCAGATGGGCGCAAAGCTGCGGACCTGATGGGCCAAAGGACGGGTTCCTGGCCGTTAGCGGACGGGGGGGGGGGGGAGATTGGTTGTTAGGTGTTGGCTAAGCGTGATTTGGAAACCTAGCCACTGTGGGTGGTAAAAACATTAACTCAATAACAGAGTTGGAAGGGACCTTGGAGGTCATCTAGTCCAACCTCAAACCCCCCCCCCACCCAAGCAGGAGACTCTACACCAGGGGTAGGCAACCTGGGCTCTTTTATGACTCGTGGACTTCAACTCCCAGAATTCCTGAGCCAGCATGGAGGAACTATGGCCCCTTCATGACTCGTGGAGTTCAACTCCCAGAATTCCTGAGCCAGCATGGGGGAAACTTTGGCCCCTTCACGTCTCATGGAGTTCAACTCCCAGAATTCTGAGCCAGCATGGGGGAACTATGGCCCCCTCATGACTCGTGGACTTTAACTCCCAGAATTCCTGAGCCAGCATGGAGGAACTATGGCCCCCTCATGACTCGTGGACTTCAACTCCCAGAATTCCTGAGCCAGCATGGAGCAACTATGGCCCCCTCATGACTCGTGGACTTCAACTCCCAGAATTCCTAAGCCAGCATGGCTCAGCTTGGAAACCTCTCCCTGTCCCCTCAGCGTGGCTGGCTCAGGAATTCTGGGAGTTGAAGTCCACCAGTCATAAAAGAGCCAAGGTTGCCTACCCCTGCCCTGCACCGTTTCTGATAGATGGCGGTCCAGTCTCTTCTTGAATGAAGTGATGAAGCTCCCACAACATCTGAAGGCCATCTGTTCCGTTGGTTGATTGTTCTCACTGTCAGAAAATTCCTCCATATTTCCAGATTGAATCTCTCCTTGGTCAGTTTCCATCCGTTATTCCTTGTCCGACCTTCAGATGCTTTGGAAAATAGGTTGACCCCTCTTCTTTGCGGCAGCCCCTCAAATATTGGAAGACTGCCATCATATCTCCCCTGGTCCTTCTCTTCGCTAGACTAGCCATGCCCAGTTCCTGCAACCGTTCTTCGTATGTTTTAGCCTCCAGTCCCTTCATCATCTTTGTTGCTCTTCTCTGCACTCTTTTTCTGCACATTGGTACAGATTAGCAAACCACAGTTCACAGCAGCCATCTGAGTCTTCCAGGAGTGAATGAGGCTGGAAAAGTTTATTGTATGCATTTATAAAATTTACATACCATCCGTCTTGCTGTTCTGCAGCTCTGGGCCACTTGCAATCCAATAAAACAATATTATAAAATATTGAAAAAGTAAATGCAGCTTTAATCTAAAATCAATAAAGCTGCACTTTTTTTGTTTAGAATGAGTGTTTCAGGGGCAAGGGATATTGGCTTGCAAAGTGCTTACAGAACACAGGTTCGGACATAACACTAAAATGGTTTGCCTGTTAAAGACTTAGGTATGTGTGAACGCAACCCTGATGTTGAAACTGGTTTCTTTGAGGAAGAAAAACTGTTTCTGAAGAAGAAGAAAAAAGGAAAGTGGGTTGTGATTTATTTTTGGAATAAAAAATGAGCGGAGAAGAGATCCTAAATGCTTAACCACCCGGCTGAGGTTTTTGTCGTTTCAGAGTGAAAGAGCGCAACCTATTGTTCAGGACGACAAACATGGATTATGGAGCAAAACCTCCAACAGTACATGAGATGCCGGTCAGTACCGAGAACTGAATATTATGGTGGCTGGTTCCTGATCTGGAAGGGAATGAATTAGTTCAGCGAGGAAATAAACCAGCTTTTAATGTATTTGCTTAGCATGGCATGCAATACAAATGCAAGCAAGTTCCTACAATTTGCACCACCTCAAATTCCCCAGTCTTATTTCAGCTCCATTTAGTGTTGTCTGTGAACTCAGCTATTCTCTCTCATATTTTGGGGGGAAAGGTCAGGAGAAATATCCCCTGCCCTCCCATATAGAAAAGCTATATAGAACCAGCTAGCCATGTATCCATTGAGGTGCCTTGGATTGTTTCTGGATCAAAATGGGCTCCAGGAATCAGGCTGGCCGAGAATGTCGAGTTTATAACTCAACAGGTTTTGAGGGGTCTAGGTGGCAAAGAATTAACTCTGACACACCATTGACTAGGCCAGGGGTAGGCAACCTTGCCTCTTTTATGACTCGTGGACTTCAACTCCCAGAATTCCTGAGCCAGCATGGGGGAACTATGGCTCCTTCATGACTTATGGACTTCAACTCCCAGAATTCCTGAGCCAGCATGGCTCAGCTTGGAAATCTCTCCCTTTCCCCTCAGCATGGCTGGCTCAGAAATTCTGGGAGTTGAAGTCCACATGTCTTAAAGTTGCTGAGGTGGAGAAACGATGGACTAGGCCAGGGGTAGGCAACCTTGGCTCTTTTATGACTTGTGGACTTCAACTCCCAGAATTCCTGAGCCAGCATGGGGGAACTATGGCTCCTTCATGACTTATGGACTTCAACTCCCAGAATTCCCGAGCCAGCATGGCTCAGCATGGAAACCTCTCCCTTTCCCCTCAGCATGGCTGGCTCAGGAATTCTGGGAGTTGAAGTCCACATGTCTTAAAGTTGCTGAGGTGGAGAAACGATAGACTAGGCCAGGGGTAGGCAACCTTGGCTCTTTTATGACTCGTGGACTTCAACTCCCAGAATTCCTGAGCCAGAACGGCTCAGCATGGAAACCTCTCCCTTCCCCTCAGCATGGCTGGCTCAGGAATTCTGGGAGTTGAAGTCCACCAGTCATAAAAGAGCCAAGATTGCCTACCCCTGGACTAGGCTGACTAGACTACCATCCCTGTTCAGTCCTTGACCTCTGTTCCTAAGCATCTGCAAGAGGGTAGGTCTTCTTCCACCATGGAGGTCTCCATTTTATCTCCAGTGGGGCACATTGGATTGACAGGCAGTGGCCAGCCCAAGTCCTCCAGGCACATGTGGCTGAGGGGAGATTTGCATCGCGATCTATCCAGCCTCTAATACCCCATCCAGATTCTTTCAGGTTACAAATTGGGGATTAATCAGCCTATGAACCCAAGATCCTACTACCTGGATGGTTGCTCCAGCTAACCCTTTGGGAACTGGCACCTACTGTGAGGCCGAGGTGGCTGTCATGATGCTCCAGATGATTGGAATGGCTTCTTTTCTGACGACTACCTTCCTCTTTTTTGACTCTTCGCAGACCAGCTTCCACATCAGTCCTCATGCCTTCTCCGATCGTCTCATGAAGTTCGGCATGTACAGGAACTATGGCATCAACACCGTCATGGAAAAAAGCTACGTGACCGGTCCTGACAACTTCATCACTTTCCTGGATACTCTCAACTTCCACCCCAGTTACCGAACTAAAGGACCTTCCCTTTCGGAGTAAGGGGCACCGGATGGCTTCCTGCCTCTCCTTTAGCTTTTTACTGTTCTAATGACCAGAATTTAAAAAAAAAAAGATTCCTCGATATGAAGAAATGTTTGCAATGCTCCCCTTCCTTGGAAACTTCTTTTCAAAGGTGACCTGCACCAACAGAGACTTCAAAATGCTCCTACAGGATCCTGGCTTGTAGCTTGCAAACAGTCTTAGCCTCTTTCTTAATACGATGAGCATGTTAGAGCAACATTACCTGCCTTAAAAATGTTGGGAATGGTCCTGTCTGTGTGCCTGGTTTCAACATTAGAGCAAGACCTACTTTGCCGGTCAAAGATGCCACATCTGTCCCACAGCAGCCATGGCAACTAATAGAAGAGAATCTTTGTAGCTCAGAATTGAACTGTGGGGTCCTTGATGCTCTCTGATGTTGGTGGTTTTCTTGCAGACATCTCAGTCTAGAATTGATGATGTTGCCTAGTTTGGTAATATAATGTCTGCAAGAAAACTACCAAGCTCAAAGAGCACCAAGGACGCCATAGGAACAGCTACAATAATAATAATAATAGTAATAATAATAATAATAAAGTTGGAAGGGACCTTGGAGGTCATCTAATCCAATCCCCTGCTCAGGTAGGAAACCCTATACCATTTCAGACAAATGGCTGTCCAGTCTCTTCTTAAAAACTTCCAATGTTGGAGCATTCACCACTTCTGGAGGCAGGTTGTTCCGCTGGTTAATTGTTCTCACTGTCAGGAAGTTTCTCCTTAGTTTCAGGTTGCTTCTCTCCTTGATTAGTTTCCACCCGTTTGCTTCTTGTCCTGCCTTCAGACGCCTTGGAAAATAGCTTGACTCCCTCTTCTTTGGGGCAGCCCCTGAGATATTGGAACACTGCTGTCATGTCACCCCTGGTCCTTCTCTTCGTTAAACTAGACATACTCAATTCCATCAACCTTTCCTTACATGTTTTAGCCTCCAGTCCCCTGATCATCTTTGTTGCTCTTCTCTGTACTCTTTTTAGAGGCCCAACATCTTTTTTACATCGTGGTGATCAAAACTGGATCCAGGATTCCAAGTGTCCAGGGGGCTCTGCCAATCATTGAGCTGAATCAACCAGAGCTCTGATTATGTTCAAGGCAGTTTCCTAACTTTGTGGCCGCTGCTTTTGTAGGCAGAGGACTGTCTTGTCTTTAAATGATGCTCCAGGGCAGGGGTCCCCAATCCTCGGTCCGTGGACCAGCACCGGGCCACGGCATGCCAGAAACCAGTCCACGCAAACAAGCAAATCCACATCCGCGGGGCGCAAGCAGCTGGTCCCATGTGCTCAAAAGGTTGGGGGCCTCTGCTCCAGGGCCTGCAGTCCAAAGAGAAGTGAGCTGGGGGGGGAAGAGAAAAATCTGGATCTGATAATTCAGTATATTGACTAGGGATGTACAGCACTTCAGATATGAAGCCGAATGGGTAGGCTGGAACTTGTTAGGTGCACACGTAGCCCATGCCTGCAATTGGTTGAACCAAGGGCATCTTCACCGAGAACCAAGTGGACATCTGTGCGGCAGCAACAGTAGCTGTCTGTTCCCGGGAAAAAAATGCGGCTGCTTTAAGAATGGTGGACAGGAAGAATCTGGGATGCTTTTGGTAGCTCTGAAATAGAACAAGGTCCCTTGGAGGGGGTATGGGGACACTCACAGCACTTAAGAACATCTTGGTGCAACCTGTTAGTACCCCTGAACTCAGATACCTGTTTTTTTCTGGACCCAGGGGATTAGTGCATGACAAGAAAAATTAATCAGAATAGAGCTGGGAGTTACTTATAAACAAAGGGTAAACGTTAAGGGTAAAAATTAAATAAAAATGCTTAAAAACTCAGACTGCTTGGGGCCAGGTAGTAGAAGTCTGAGTTTAGCAATATCAATTAGGAAAAACGAAGTGACAACAGCACTGAAAAAAGTGACTTAGGGCCATTTTTCACACTTAACAACCGTTGCATCATCCTCACAGTCACGTAATTTCCATTCAGATGCTTGACAGCTGACTCACATTTATGAGGGCGGCAGTGTCCTGGGGTCACGGGATTATTTTTGGGTGAACTTCTGATCAGCAAAATCAACGGGGAGACCAGATTTGCTAACGATCTTAAGAACTGCAGTGATTCACTGAACGACTGTGGCGAGAAAAGTTGCGAAAAGGGGCAAAAGTCACTTAACAAACTTCTCACTCAGCAACATAAATTTTGGCCTTGGTTAGGGTCGTTAAGCTGAGGAGTAACTGTATATGGTAGATGCAGGTAGCAGAGTCTTCAGTCTGGCAAGATTCTGTCTGTAGGAAGGAAGCAATAAAGAACTCAGCTTGGAAAAATCACCAGGAGGAAAAATCAAAGTCAATCAATCAATTCCAACTTCTCGTGAAAGATCGCAAAGTTGGGATTGATTGACCTTTCCCCCCCCCAAAAAATAAACTCTGTTTCCTTGCACACGGTGGCAGCAGCAGATTGCAAAGGAGAAACGGCACAGGGCTGGAAGTCAGGTAACAAAAGAAAGGCAATTGCTGGGGGGGGGGGAGCAAGGATTTCTTTTCTTACCTGCCCTACTTGTTCCAAGGCCGCTTTCCGCTTGGACACGTTGCCACCAAAGCTGTAGCTGAATGGGCAGGTGAGGGGGAAACCTGCCCCACTTGTTCCACAGCCGCTTTCGGCCGAGCCGCATTGCAGCAGCATTGGGCGCAACACACGAGGCGGCAAATAGCCGCATCACGCCGAAACTGGCCTTTTGCCACCTTCTGCCCAATGCCGCTGCCATGAGGCCGCGGAACAAGCTGGGCGGCGGTAAGAAACTGATATACCGGTTCCTTACCTCCGCCCAGCTTGTTCCGTGGCCTCATGGCAGTGGCATTGGATGCGACACGCAAAGTGGCAAATGGCCGCGGCCGGTGGCAAACAACCATGTCGTGCCGAAACCGAGGGGCCGGCAGGCTGTGGCTGCTGATGGACACAGTTGGCCCCCATGCGCTCGCTTTGTGCGGGGGACGATGGTGTCAGGTAGCAGCCGCCCCGGTCCCTGCCTCACCTTGCCTTGCCCTACGACAATGGCACCCCTGCCTCGCCTTGCTCACCCCTCAGGACAAGCCTCCTGCCCACCGTCCCACCCGCCAGAGACCCCCTGGATCTTTCCCAACCCTGCCCAGCCCCCACAGGCATCCCTCCCCACGATCAATATCAACGTGGCCACGCTCACCCCAGCCATGCCCACCGTCTGCCATGACCACAGCCACGCTCACCCAATGGGCCACACCCACCCGGCACCCAGCGATACATAAGTGGGTTTTGGGTTGCAGTTTGGGCACTTGGTCTCTAAAAGGTTCGCCATCACTGCCCTACACCATTTCTGACAGATGGCAGTTGTCTTTTTGAAAGCTTCCAGTGATAAAGCTCCCACAACTTCTGAAGGCAACTCCTGTTCCATCGGTGGATTGTTCTGTCAGGAAATTTCTCCTTAATTCTAGGTTGTTTCTCTCCTTGGTTAGTTTCCATTCATTGTCTCTCGTCTTGCCTTCTGGTGCTTTGGAAAATAGTTGGTCCCCCTCATCTTTATGGCACCCCCTCAAATATTGGAAGACTGCGATCATGTCTCCCCTGGTCCTTCTCTTCACTAGACTAGCCATGACTAGTTCCTGCAGCCGTTCTTCATAGGTTTTAGCCTCCAGTCCCCTCATCATCTTTGTTGCTCTTCTCTGCACTTTTTCTAAAATCTCAACATCTTTTTTATAGTATGGAGACCAAAACTGGATGCAGTATTCTAGGTGTGGCTTTATAGAGTGGAATTAATACCTCATGTGATCTTGATTGAATCCCTCTGTTAATGCAACATGGATGATTGAAAAAAAAAAAAACTAGGGACCCCTCTTCAAAATATATGATAAAAAAAGTTAAAACAGGGTTTGGATCAAGGGCCATGATCTGAACTCAGTTTATTGAATCTTATAAATGTACGAATGTACGCCATTTCTTATATACAAAACAAGGTTTCTTAATTTAAAAAGTGCATCTTCAATCGAAGGGCATTGAAATTACAAGCTACAAAATATTGAAATCCAACAGGAAGCGAACACAAAAGGCTCCCAGAAACCTTTGGAAAGTGAAAGGAATGTCCAGTAGGGTTTACACGGAGGAGAAACAGACTAACTGGACAGACACAGGACTTTAATCCTATAAAAGCAGCATGGACAGGAAAAACAATGCTACTAGAAAAAGATCAAGTGACATTTCAGTGTGAAATTAAGGCTGCTTTTTTACTTCCAGTTTACCCTTCAGCGACCAAGCTAAGAAATAACCTGAATTTTTTTTTTTAAAGAATCTGAAAGAAAAAGGGTGCCTCTGGTCTTGGGACACCCCCTCCCCTTTGGCATTATTGAGGATGCCGATTATTTTGAACTGAAGGAAGTTTCCAGACGCACCAAGCTGTCCAAGTGGCAAATTGACACCAAATGCTTGTAAATGCTCCCCTCAGCAGGAAAGCAGCCCTTCAGTTTGGCAAACCCATAAATAAGGAGGAAAGGGAAAAAAAAGTGTGGGGTAGGAAATTGAAGCTGGAGAAAGAACAGAAAAGGAGCCTCTATGAGATTCTTCAAAAAAACAAAAAAAAACAAACTATGCCTTTCAGATATATATATATATATACATATACATATATATATGTTTTCTGAGGTTTTCACGGGTATTTGTATGTAGGTCTTTGGTTGTTCGGGTTTTCTCCCGCGTAAAATTGGAAGTGTCTTGGTTCGGGTTTTCTCCCGCGTAAAATTGGAAGTGTCTTGGCGACGTTTCGACGAAGTCCCATTCGTCATCTTCAGGCTTGTGTTTTCAGCTTCGTGCTTCGAGCAGCAAGCACGAAGCTGCTCGAAGCACGAAGCTGAAAACACCAGCCTGAAGATGACGAATGGGACTTCGTCGAAACGTCGCCAAGACACTTCCAATTTTACACGGGAGAAAACCCGAACAACCAAAGACCTACATATATGTGTGTGTGTGTGTGTTTATAAGTGGCCCATTTGTTTTAGCTGCTCTGCCTCTTTTATAAGATTTTCTCCACTGCTGATAACTGCTTTAAGAGCGTAACAGGAGACGTCAATGGTAGCATCCTTTTCTATCCAACCGGACGGTCTTTCCTTGAACCAACTCCCATAATAGTTCTGGCTCTCCAAATTTTGCAAGCTGGGGCCAGGAAGGCTATACAGAAAGAATCCCACAGACCTGGAAAGCTTACTAGAAAATGACCTGAAAACACAGCGAACTGTAATCATTTGCTAGGAAAACCCACGGTCACCACAGTTAAGCATGCCGTATAAATTGTCATAGAAAAGCTTTCCTTCCAGCGTTGCCCTTTTCATACCAACAAAACCATTCTTTATCAAAAGAGAAAACAAAAGCTGGATAGGTATAACTGGAGGTGTATTTCTTTGTTAAGTGTGGCCATTATGGATAGAACTTCTAAATTCAGTGCCTCTCCTTTCGGTTTCAGCTCCTCTAAAATACGATCACTTTGGTTGCTTTGCCATCATTAACCCAGTTCTCTATTTTTCATAACCACTCTACAAATGGACCACCTGAGCTCTAAATGCAGGGGTCGGCAACCTCGGCTCTTTTATGACTTGTGGACTTCAACTCCCAGAATTCCTGAGTCAGCATAGCTGACTCAGGAATTCTGGGAGTCGAAGTCCACGAGTCATAAAAGAGCCGAGGTTGCCTACCCCCCCGTCTTAATGCAACAGGAACTTGGATCAATCACTCTTTGTATATTACCTCTTCCAACACAGATATTACATTTTGTGTGAGAAGTATTGTCAGAATGGAGTTTCTGAATGAGTTGCCTTTTCAAATGCCAACCCTGTAAAATAAAGGTGTAAAGAGCTGGAGTCCTTGGTTTTCAGGAGACAGATGTGTGGCCCCATTGACCCAACTCTGCAGAACCTCCTTCTAGAAGCTTCTGGGCTTGCTCCTCTGCTGTCCTACCTTGGCTGACCACCTTTCCTTTCACGGATAAATCGCAAGGGCCTTCGGGAACCTCACACTCTGACCAACTGGGGCTGTACTCCAGGACTCCGCCTTTCCTAACAGGGTCTTCAACGCAGGCTGCCCTGGGGCTAATTGTGGTCTCCTCTATGCCAGACCCTCGCAAAGGGGGGCTTTGGCTGGCACCCCCTTCGTGCCTTTCCACACGATTGTGTTTGACCAAGTTCACCACTTCAGTGGCGATGGTCATCTCCTGGGCGCTTCCATCCCTTTCCTGACTGCAGGGATGCAAACTTCCTGCCTGGGACCTGGGATCCTGCTCTGCTTCTCTTGCCCCTGCCTCACTTTTGGAACCCACAATCTCTTTGGGCAGGGACCCTTCTCCAAACAAATTGGCTGGCAAGCTCCCTCCGTGCACCTTGAGCAAAGAAAGGCCAATGTTCTGTCTTTTGCCTAAAAGCTCAGATTCCCTCTTATTCCCACCACCTTTGAGACCTGCTGGAAATTTGCCCGACGTTTCGAATCCAGGCGAGCGCTTCCTTTTAAAAGAGGGGGTGGTCTTCAAATAACTTCGCCATTTCCCGCACTCTGCTTTGTCCTTCCTGGGAGAAAGGGTCCCTTGGTCAATCCTGTTCTCCCAAATGTCCTTTCTTTGGATTGCAGCTCTTCTTTCGAGTAGCTCAATCCCCTTTGGGTCCGCCGTTGGCGGGTTTTCCACGGAAGCCTGGCTGTCCCCACCTTCCATTAATGATCTGGCTTGTTCCCTGGGGGGAGATGCATTTCCTTCACTCTTTCCTGTGTATCTCCGGCGGCTGCTCAGCTCAGGGGCTGGTAGGTCCACCTTGCCCACTTTTTGACACTCTTTCTCTGAGGCTGGGCTTCCTCGCTTGAGGAGTTGCCACCCTGCTTTCAACAGAGCAGCCTGGGGCTTGTCAGCCCCCAAAGTCCCAGCAACTCCAGTGGTATCTGGTAATCCCCCTATCCTTGCGGCGGCCTTCGCCTTTTCAGCCAAGAACCTCTGGATTTCTTCTTCGATGCTGTCATCGCTGTCTATGGAACTGCTCTCATCTGCCAAGGACGTCACAGCCCACAGGCACGGGTGAGTTTTGGGGGCCTCCTGGATTTCTGCTCCAGAAACTGGTTTGGTCTGGTCTTCCTTTGTACATTCAGGTTTGAACGCTAGGGTAGTTTTCGGTTTTCTCAGAGGCCCCTTCTTTACATTCCCCTCTCTAATGTCTCCCCTGGCCCTTACAATACACTTTTTTAATAAGGTGGGCGTTTGGGATGGGCGGTCTCTCTCGTTCTTATAAAAAATGTGCATTTCAGCATCCCCCAACTGGACTTTGTTTTTGCAGTGCGTTCTTTGGTCTTTGGGTTTTTTCTTTAGTTTGCGTTTGGATCTTAAGAGATCTTTGATAGCTGTATCCAAATCCTCATCGCTATCAAAAGAACTGCTTTTATCATCTGCCCCATGTTTCTGCAGACCTTGTGTTACGCCTTCTACCAGACTTCCAGAATCATGAGATATGTGAGACAAAGGACACGGGAGACCGATAGAATTTATAGGAGGTTGAGTATCTTTTGGATATATAACCATCTTTCCAGTTCTTTCATTTTTCAGTTGGGTCATAGAGGAGTTTGGAAGATTCTTATCCACATAGTCCATCTCCGAGAAGATTAATTGTGCATCTTCATTCTGGGGGATTATTTCACGTTTCCTCTTAAATTTCTTTTTGTGATTCAGTGGCAGTTTTAGGCATTTGGGGAATGTTCTCTTGGAACTCTGAGTCCGCTCACTGGACTGTCCCAAGGAAAGAGGCACTTGGAAAGTGGATTTTGCTATCAAATGCTCAGTCTTTGCTTTGACAGCCAAGAAAGCTCTTATCTCCTGCTCAATGCTATCGTCACTGTCAACAATATTGTTGTCGCTTTCATACTGGGAAGGTAGCATGTTCTGCGAAGGAAAGGAAGGACTGGTTGAGAATAGTTTATGGTCACTCGCTGTTGGAAGAGGCAAAATAGTTTTGGAAATATCAAGTATGGCTTCTGCACACATTAATTCGGCCGCGGTGTCTGCTCGACATGAGGCCTGCAATGTGACTGAGCATTTGGCAAACGTGTTTTCTGGAGGAGAATAAATTCTACTTTTCCTCAGATGATTCCAAGGTGTACCAGGCCTATTTATTGCCGCTGCCTTTGCGCTGGTGTCCTTCCTCCTGCAGCTCTGAGCTTTCGGAGTGATTTCTGGCAAGGCACTTGTCAGGCTTGGAGGGATATTCTCTGCCTTGCTGGTGCTGATATTCTGCAAAGAAACGCAGCCTGCTCTGGACTCCGCAGCTTTCTTAATCTTCTCAAGCTGATAACGCTGAATAGCTTCTTCGATCCCATCATCGCTGCTCGAATCAGATAAATCTGTACATCCAACTCTTTCCTCTCGGCCGGCATTGCAAAGTCTCTGCCTTGTCCCATTTTTTTTGCTTTCTTCCAGGAGGAAGGAATCACAAACTGCCAGAGATGAAAAGTCTGTTTGCCTTTCTGTTTTGCAGGCTGCAGAAGAGTCGCTGGTTTTCGACTTCAAGCATTTAGCTGGGCTGATGCTTTGTAGTTCTGGATGCTGTTTTGAGAAGCACGCCTTGCCTCCTTGCTTTAAGGAACTTTGATTCCTTCTGTTCGCGCTGCTTTTTTGACCGAGGGCTAACTTCTCTTGGAGCTCTTCTTTCTGACGAAATGGCTTATTCCTCCTCATGATCTTCTTTCTTGCTTGCTGTTTCTTTTTCTTTAAGAATTGTTCAATCTCGGCTTTTATGCTCTGTTCGAAAGAGTCATCGCTGCTCATGCTACAAGGGGAAGAAGCCCATTGGACAACATTATCTTCAACCTGGCCAGGAACCACATATGGGCGGGCCAAGCTGACTGGACCGCAAGCAGCAGGAAATAAATGACAAGCGGCATCACGCGCAGGAAATTTCTGTTGGACTGGCTGATCTTCATCCTTACTAGACACATTCTTGGTGTTATTTGGTAGTGGGGGAAGATTCTGGCTCTTGTTTCGCAGGTGTTCTTGAATGGCCTCCTCGATATCTCGATCAACAGAATCGTCACTGTCAGAATTCAAGGCGAGAGGTCCAAACTCTGCACTCTCTTCCATGTCCATCCCATCAGAGTCTGTTGGATAGTTACGAAGGGTATAGTTGATATGTTCCTGTAGCAGATGGTCATTCCTCCTAAACTTGGGTCCTTTATCTTTTGGAGCCTTCTGTTTCTTCTGTACGATGCAGCCATATTTGCTGCTGGCATCCAAGGTGACGTCTTCACTTTGCAGATTGTTTATGATCATCTGGACTTTGGCATTGACGGCTGTTCTCGCCAGATCTTCTTCAGATTCTGAGAAACAGACCGGATACCTGCAATTCCTTGACTGCGGAAAAGGCTCCCATTTTCTTTGAAGGGCCACCAAAGGAGAAGTATTCATGAGAAACATCCTCTCAGGTAGCGTAAAGCCTGGAAAATGTATTGTGTGTCAGGCACACCGCTCTCCCATTCTAGTAAAAATATATAAAAAAAATGTGGATAAAGCAACTACAGAAACACAAACATTTCCCGAGTATTTGCGGGGTAAAGAGTCTTTGCTTTAAGACTGATTTTCTTTTAACATTAACTTTGCATTACGTTATCTGAAGCAACAAGACTAAATTAAAACATTTATGGGGGTTTCTTTTATCAATTAGATCGTTTTAATTTCCTTTGGCTTCTCTGGGTTTATTCTGGAGGAAGAGTTACATTAAAATAAAAACAAACATGTAAATAACAGTAAGTAAGTAGCACCCTAAAGAATTGCACTAAGTTTTTCCTATCAAACATGTGAAACTTTTAGTCCATCCTTTTAATTACTACAGTTGCCACTTAATACCTGTTTATCGAGAAATTCTGTAACCTCAAGTACATAGTAATTATTATACCTTATTAATCTTTCACAACCACAGCCACATACATATAAAAAGAGGAAAAGAACTCTTGTGATTTTACTGCTAGGAGGGAACCTGCTGAATTGAACAAAAAACACCTTGGCATTTATCCGGTTTACCTTATGGGCAAACAGATTAACCCAAAGAAAATCCCAAACAATGTAATGCCTGGGGACTAAGCAGAAAAAATGTAAAAATGATGGGACTGGCAAAAGATTAGTTGAAAGCGGTATCAAAAGGCTCCAAACTCTATAGAAAACAGTACAGTACGAACATATATATTGTGGCACTTTTAGTTCTTAAAATTAATAGACAGGAGATTTTTATACATGTATACAATTTTATGTATAAAACTGTTCTAAGGAGAACATGGATAAAAAATTTCCTGTCATACCTTAACCAGAATCATTTCTTCTAAACAGGCACAATCCAGAAAGTTACTCGTATGCTTGCAATTAAAACATTTGGGGGACTGGTATTGCAGGTTGTGCTAAGCCAAGGCTTGCTTTAACCACAGTTTGTGATCCAACTGGCCGTCTTCACACAATATATTCTCTGAAGATCACTGGTTAGCAGCCCAGATGTTACGGGAGTAAAACACCCAACATATCGCCAAGAAACCCTGGGAATTGTGCTTCGGCTACATCAGCCCCGTCAAACCCACAACAGCTTTCCTGCATTTGTGCTTGGCATGGAGTGTGTATTTCTTTCCTCGGTTGCACACCGGTGCAACCCTTCGGCAAATGCTACTAGGGATCCTCACTCTTTGTTAAGGTAGAATAATATAGAATAATGTGGACTAATAATAATAATAATTTTTCATTATTATTATTATTCCACATTATTCTATATTATTCTACCTTGCTCTGCTAAACCCTCTGGAATTCGTAAAAGTCTTTCATTTTTCTACAAGACTGTGGCCAAGACCAAAGTTCATTCTAATGGGAAATAAAACCGATGAGCGCTGCTGCCAGGGTGGGGTTTTTTTGCAAAATTGTCATTCTGTGCCCACTCACAAAAGGGTTGCCTGGCTGGGGGCAAAAGCCAACTCAGCCTCCCCACCCCACCCCAGCACAAAGACACTCTTGCAAAGCACCTAAGGCTGGAGATGGGTGCGGGGTGGTTGCATTTTTTACCCCCAAGTTGCATTTTTTACCCCCAAGTAGGTTGCCCCCTTGGCCCATTTTTATGGGCCAAGGGGGCAACCTACTTTCGTTGCCCCTTTATTTCAATTAGAATCACCTGGTAGCGCAGGAGAGGCAGAACCGGGGGGGGGGGGCTCAGCTTTCCCTCCTCGGCCCAAGGCCTCCCTCAGCCGCTGCCCGGCCCTTCCCGCAGCCCAGCCCGCTCGGGAAACTCGGCCCCCGCCGCCCCTCTCCCGACACCGGGCCTCCCCAATTGAGGCCGCCGCCATAGGGATCCGGCCCGTGTGGAGGGCCCGTTGCCATGGCGACCGCCGTCTCCCAGCCGGGCCTCCCGCTCACCTGCCGGGCCGCGATGGCGCCTCGCGTGATCCGCCGCCGCCGCCGCGAGGACAGGCGCCGCCCGCGGGGAGGGAGGCAGGGCCGGCGGGCGGACGGGGGCGGGACCGGGCGGCCATCAGCCGGGCCTGGTCTCCCGGCCGGCCTGGCGGACCCGCCCCTGGCGACGCGGGGTGGGGGGGGGTGGAAGGAAGGAAGGCCGGCCTCGCTTGGCGTTTCTCCTTCTCCTCCATTCCGCCTTCCTCTTTCTTCTCCTCCCCTCCTGGGGCTTCGTCTCTCCCTCCTTCCTTCCCTCTTTCAACCCGCATTCCGCCATCAGGCCACTATGGCGCCCTTCCCTCTCCGAGACATCTGATGACCCAACTAGCTAGCATCATCAGTGCGGGAAGGGGGTGAAGTTTGCTTTTGATATGTGCCAGCGGCTTGCCTGCCTAGAAATATAAAATGAGAGCCAGCCCCAACCGCCTTTGAGCGCTGATGAGGTTACTTAGTTGGGTGGTGAAATGTCAGCAGGAAATTCAGCTCTGGCAGTGCCAAGGACCCTGACCCTTCAACCCACCAGCTACAAATATTCTCCTGTTTTGTGTTCTCTGATTTACTCTGGAGTTAAGGTTGACGTGGAGAATTGATACCAGGATGAACTTCAGTACCAATTAAGGAGAATATTTGTAGCTCGGAGTTGAAATTAGGGGGTCCTTGGTGCTCTCTGAGCTTGTTTTCTTGCAGACCTTTCATTAGCCAAACTAGGTAGCATCCTCAGGGCTAGTACTCCTAAATGGAGTCATCCATTTAGTAAACCATAGTTCAACAAACCAAGACTAGGAGTAGAGAAATTCTTCCCTGCACTTGTCACTTGCTTGTACGTTTTCTTCCTGAATTCTTGGCTCTTCTTTTGAAGAGCAGGATTGGGGATCTGCTTTGCCATCCCCGGGGTGGGGAGAGGGACGGGAATTGGGACGCTTGCATCCCAAAGGGGGACACTTTGGAGTCCTGCGTCCATCTTCCATTTCCTGCCTGGGTCCCTTTTCAGTTTATTTTTATTTAATTTGAAAAAAAATATATGAACACTTGCAGGACCTGGGTATGTCTATCCTAATGAAGAGAAGGACTAGGGCAGGGGTAGGCAACCTTGGCTCTTTTATGAGTCGTGAACTTCAACTCCCAGAATTCCTGAGCCAGCATGGGGGAACTGTGGCCCCTTCATGACTTGTGGACTTCCAACTCCCAGAATTCCTCAGCCAGCATGAAGGAATTATGGCCCTTCATGACTCGTGGACTTCAACTCCCAGAATTCCTCAGCCAGCACGAAAGAATTATGGCCCTTCATGACTCGTGGACTTCAACTCCCAGAATTCCTCAGCCAGCATGGCTCAGCTTGGACACCTCTCCCTTTCCCCTCAGCATGGCTGGCTCAGGAATTCTAGGAGTTTAAGTCCACGAGTCATAAAAGAGCCAAGGTTGCCTATCCCTGGACTAGGGGGTTACATGATATTTGAGGGGCTGTGCAAAAAAAAAAAAAAGGGATTAATCTATTCTCCAAAGCATCTGAGGGCAGGACAAGAAATAACGGATAGATTGAGAGACCCAACCTAGAACTAAAAAGAACAATGAGATCAGTGTAACGGTTTGCCTCCAGATGTTGTGGGTGCTCCATCACTGGCGGTTATGGGTGGTAATAAATATTTCCATTAAAATGAACCAAGTTAATTATTAATTAGCAATTTTGTACTGCAAAGTTGAACTGCCGTCAACTCCCTGCCTTTTTTCTGTTTTTTTCTCCTTTCAATAGTCTGTGTCAGAGCAGGCATGTCAACCACACGGCCTGCAGGCTGGATCCGGCCCGCACAGGCCATGCCCACCCTGGTCTCGCAAGGGCAAAACAAATCCTGATACTGCCTGCGATGCGATCGGGTTTGATACCCCCGTCAGAGAGTCCAAGCCGGTCTTGATTTTCAGTGATAGCCTGGACAAATCCCTGCACTTTCCTTGGAAAGTTTTGTAGTTTGCCATTGCCTCTTTCCTAGGGCTTTGAGGAAGTGGCTGGCCCAAGGTCAACCAGCTGGCTTCCACTCTGGGGGGGGGGGCTGGGGGGAGAAAAATTCACCATCGGCCAGGTTCTCGCTTTACCACTACACCAAACTAGCCATCTCAGTGGTAGATGACCAGCATCTTATTTCCGGGAAGCATCCAAGCCCTTTGCTTGCCCTTGGAGCCGAGGGTTTCCATTCCTTGGATCTCTCCTTATACTTCCATAACCTTCCTTTCCTTTATCCAGAGTAAGCCTGTTTTCAAGGATTGCCACTGAGGTTCAACAGAGACACCAGTTCACTTAAATTTCTACCCATTCTCAATAAACCAACTGTGAAGTTAAGTTCAAAAAGAAGAGAAATTTGGCTGCATTTGTACAGCATTCACACAACACACTAAACGGCTTAGTTGTACCCTTGATGGGTCTTGTGTATGTGGCCAAGCAAGTATGCCATCCTATCCCATTGGCTTAATTTATGGTTTAATGCAGTGTTTCTCAACCTTGACCATTTTAAGGCATGTGGACTTCAACTCCCAGAATTCTACACTCAGCATTGCTGGCTGTGGAATTCTGGGAGTTGAAGTCCACATGCCTTCAAATGGTCAAGGTTGAGAAACACTGGTTTAATGTAATTAAGAATCCAGAAAAAGAGGGGAGCAATCGGGTGAAACCCAGTCGTAGGAAACTAACAGCCTCTCCTAAAGAAAAAATAAAGATTACAGTTCAGGGGAAATGAAAAGCGCCCCACAAATGTCCCGCGCCTCGGTCAGCCGGAAGGACAGAAACCGATGCTGGGGGGGGCACTAAGCTCGCACCAAGCCCGTGTGGACGTTGCCTTCCCCGGTGCCGCCACCGCCGGGCTTCCCTTCCCCTCCCCTCCCCGAACGGCCGAGCAAAGCGAGACGCTCCTTCGCCACTTTCTGCCCCTCCCCGCACAAGGAGCGCACAACGCGGGTCAGGAAAAGGCGACGTTGTGCTGTTTCTTCGCCAGGCGATTCCCACAAAGGGAGGCGGCTCCCCGCGCCGAGCAGACGCCGCGCCCTCCTCCCCAGGCTCCACCCGGGGCCTCCGAGGAAGGAGCCCGGGGCTCCGCGGGCAGAGCCGGCCTCCCTGCGCGGACCGCCTCGGCGTCGGGTCCGAGCGGAGCTCCGGTCTCCCCGCTCCGTCTGCCTGGAGGAGCCCCGGGGAGGGAGGGAGGGAGGGACGGGCCCGCCTGCCTGCCTGCCTTCCGCCCGGCCTCCCCGCCCGAGGCTGCCGAGGCCACTTTCCCCCCGCGGGGATCCCGCCCGCCTCAGCCGGAACAGGAGGCCCGGCCTGGCTCGCCTCCTTCCGAGGCGCCTCGGCAGACAGGCAGGGCCGGAGCACCAATCAGAGAAGGCAGGAGGCGCGCAGAACGGACGGAAGTGCCGCCCCCGCTTCCGGCAGCGGACAGGCAGCGGAAGGAGCGTCCCGGGTCGAAGTGCACGGAGGCAGGTGAGCCGCGGGGGATGCTGGGAGTCGCGGGAGACGGGATGGGGAACCCAAGGCTGGTCTGGGTGGGCGACGCTGGGAGGGAGGCCGGGTCCGTGAGAGGCCGAGGCTTCGGCCTTCCTCCCCGGGCGGGCCTGGGACTCCCCTCCGGGGAAGGGACGGAGCCGTGACCGCCTCTCCTCCCCCCTTCGCCCCTGCAGGAGGACGGGCGAGCCCGACGGAGGAAGGAAGGAAGGAAGGAGGCGCCGCCCGAGAGGAGAGGAGGCCCCGCGGAGCAGCCCCGGGAGGAGACGGCGGGAAGGCCCGGCAGGGATGAGCCGAAGGGGACTCCGGGAAAGGAGGCCGCCTGGAAGGAGAAGCGGGGAGCAGGAAACGGGCGGAGACCCCGAGACGGGCCTGGAGAGCGGAGGGTCCTTCGGGACAGGCGGAAGACTCAAGAAACGCCACAGAATCCACGAGGTCGGAAGGAAATATGAATGCCCGGAATGTGGAAAATCCTTCAAAACAAAAGGAAATATTGAAAGGCATCTAAGAATCCACACAGGAGAAAAACCATTTAAATGCCCGGAATGTGGAAAATCCTTTAAAACAAAAGAAAATCTTGAAAGGCATCTAAAAATCCACTCGGGAGAAAAACCGCATAAATGCCTGGAGTGTGGAAAGAGCTTCAGTCAGAGGGGAAACCTTTATCGACATCAAATAATTCATACTGGAGAGAAACCGCATAGATGCGTAGAGTGTGGAAGGAGCTTCACTCAGAGAGGAAGCCTTTATAATCATCAAAGAATTCACACTGGAGAGAAACCCTATAAGTGCCTGGAGTGTGGAAGGAGCTTCACTCAGAGGGGAAGCCTTTATAATCATCAAATAATTCACACAGGAGAGAAACCCCATAAATGCCTGGAGTGTGGAAAGCGCTTCAGTCAGACGGGACACCTTTATACACATCAAAGGATCCACTCAGGAGAGAAACCCCATAAATGCCACGAGTGTGGAAGGAGCTTCACTCAGAGGGGAAACCTTTATAATCATCAAAGAATTCACACAGGAGAGAAACCCTATAAGTGCCCTGACTGTGGAAAGAGCTTTAGTCAAGGGGAAAGCCTTTATAAACATGAAAGGATCCACACAGAAAAACCATATAAATGCCTGGAGTGTGGAAAGAGATTCAGTCTGAGGGGAATCCTTTATAGACATCAAAGAATTCACACTAGAGAGAAACCCTATAAGTGCCTAGAGTGTGGAAAGAGCTTCATTCGGAGGGGATACCTTTATAATCATCAAATAATTCACACTGGAGAGAAACCCTACAAGTGCCCTGACTGTGGAGAGAGCTTTAGTCAAGGGGAAAGCCTTTATAAACATGAAAAGATCCACACTAGAGAAAAACCATATAAATGCCTGGAGTGTGGAAAGAGATTCAGTCTGAGGGGAATCCTTTATAATCATCAAAGAATTCACACTGGAGAGAAAACCTATAAGTGTCCAGAGTGTGGAAAGAGCTTCACTCTGCAGGGAAACCTTTATAGACATCAAAGAATTCACACTGGAGAGAAACCCTATAAGTGCCAGGAGTGGAAAGAGCTTTAGTCAGGGGGAAAGCCTTTATAAACATGAAAATCCACATTAGAGAAAAACCATATAAATGTCTGGAATGTGGAAAGAGCTTCAACGTGAGGGGAAACCTTTATACACATCAAAGAAGACACAGAAGAAAATAAACATAAACGCCTTAAGTGTGGAAAGACTTTTACACCTCAGTCGACATCAAACTATTCACACAAGAAAAAAATGCTATAAATGCCTGGAATGTGGAAACAGCTTCGCTGAGAGAAAAGCTTTATAGATATCAAAGATTCCATTTAGAGAAGAAACCATTTAGATGCCTGGAGTATGGAGAATCATTCACAGCAAACAAAAATCTCAGAAGTTATCAAAATGTTCACTTGGGAGATAATACTTAATAACATGATGTGTGGGAAAAGTTTCAGTCAAAATAGGTCTCAGTAAAAATTATAAACTTTACACAGAGAATAAAGTTTATAAATGCACAGAGTGTGCTAGATTTTTCAGAATAAATGGCCGTCTCAAAAACGAACTAAGAATCCAAGCTGCTTTTTTCAAGAGGCAACTGGACTTTGTTTCTTTGAAGGCTTTTCGCTTTTTATCCAAGAAGCTTCTTCAGCTCTGACTGGATGGTGGAGAAGGATATATATTCCTTACAGGCAGCTGATCATTTGCATTCTTTTAAGAGTCGCTGAGGCCACTTGGAGGTTTATTTGTGTCCTCAGAATCACTTGAGTAGTGCAAATGGGTGTGTACCCTTTTTTATGGTCATGTTTTTGATACTCCCCGGCCAGCTGGATGGGGGGTTGGGGGTCACCACCACATGAGAAACTGTATTAAAGGGTCGCGGCATTAGAAAGGTTGAGAACCACTGATCTAGAGTCTTCAACACAGTCCTTTTGGCTGTTCCAAGAAGGCTCCACATCCATTTGCACTATAAAAGAAAGCAAATGACCAGCTGTCTGCAAGGAGTATAAACCCATTGCCCACCTTCCAGTCAGAGCTGAAGAAGCTTCTTGAGTGACAAGTGAAACATCTTCAAAGGAAAAACAAGAAAAACAAGTCCAGTTGCCTCGTGAAAAAACATCTTGGGGATGACCAGTAGCCTATTGACATGTGATAGCTGATCAGTGAGTGACCGATTGCTCAAGCAAGAAATCCTATACCATTCCAGACAAATAGCTATCCAGACTGATGGATTTACGGTCAAATAACACATTTTAATTATTGTGTACCTGCCCTGAAATCCAAAGAGGACATTTCTGTTATTGGCTTACATATTTGCAATCAAAAGGAAAAAATAGCTAAAATAGCTATGCATTTGTATAAATGTTTTGGAAATTATTGTATGTTAATGATGAACATATGATTGCTAACTTTTATATATTGTTATTGACATTGAATTTGGAGAATGAGCATTGCATGATCCAATGGGCAAAGAATTTTGGATATAATGCTTGAAGAATGAGAAAACCGCAGATGAAGGGATTAAAATTTTCATTATAGTTTCAAAGAAAATGCTTATGAAACGCATTGTCGGTATCTAAATTGTCAAAAATCTGTAAAGGTTTTTCAAATGTATGCTGAAAATGTATGTAGCGCCACCCCCATAGGGACCACTTACGTCCGGGCCCTCCCCATCTCTCCCCAAGTGGCCACCAGCCCAAGGAGGTCTCTCACGTTGGCGCCTCTGCTTAATGGGGCACTTAACGTGGTATTCAGTCACGATCAGCAGACACGCACATGGGGTGTGATTGTCGCTCTCGACAGTGACTCGTGGGATGGTGGTGATTGATCTCAGACAATAAGAACTTACATGGAAGATGGTAGTCAATTCCTGATAACAGCAGCTGGCATAAGGTAATGGTAGTCCGTTTCCGGTAGCAGCAACCTGCTCAGAACGATGGCAGTCAGCCTCTGATGACAACAACTTGCCTAGAATGATGTTAATCAACCTCTGGTGACAGCAACTTGCCTAGAACAATGGCAGTCAGTCTCTGGTGACAACAACTTGCCCAGGATGATGTCAATCAGTTTTTGATGACAACAACTTGCCTACAACGATGGCAATCTCTGGTGCTGGCAGAGGCCTCCCTTGTCCACTCTCCTTGTCCCTCTCTTACCTCACTCCGTGTAACCCCTTTTTAACTCCCCCAGCTGATCCTATAAAATAAAACCCTACCTCCTACTAAAAGACGTATGTCAAACTCTTTCCTAACTCTCCCTCTGCCTAGCTTACTCTAACGAGGGAAAGGAATTAAAATTCTCCAAACTACCCCCCCCCTCTGTCTAGCCTGCCCGCAACAAAAGAGAAAGAAACTTCACCTCCCCCCTCTCCCCCCATCCCCCCTCCCTGGCTGCTTCAAGCAAATAGCTCCAGCAACTATTCTCTCTCTACCCCTCCCTCCCTCCCTGCCTGCTTGCTTCAAGCAAACAACTCCAGCAACTACTCTCTATCCCTCCCTCCCTGCCTGCCTGCTTCAAGCAAACAGCTCCAGCAACTACTCTCATTGTCTATCCCTCCCGCTTTTGTCTGGCTTGCCTCTCTGATCAGCTGGCTCAGAACTGCAAGCTCCACCAAGCCTTCTCTCCTCCTCCCTTCTGTCAGCTTCCTCTTCTTTCTTCCCTCCTCCAAGCCACGCCCTGCCGCCATACCCATGGCAGCTGCCAGAGCTCCTCATTTTCCTGCCGATGGCAGGGCTCCTGCAAAGCCTCTCAGCAGGCCCCATTCTCAGCCCAACTCCGCTACAACGTAAACGTAAAGAAGGAACTTTTTACCATCTATGGTGGACCTGTGACAGAGCAAAGAAATATTGGAGTAGGATTTGTATCTTAATACAGAATCTAAAGATAAAACCAGAGACTTTTCTTTTAGGTCTAATAGAGAACTTGAAAAAAAATTGAAACTGTGATGTGATGTATAGTATATGCCAGGGGTGACGAACCTTTTAGAGACTGAGTGCCCAAAATGCAACCCAAAACCCACTTGTGTATCGCCCGGTGGGCGTGTCCCATTGAGTGGGTGTGGCTGAGGTATGACCCTTGCAGATCAAAATTTGGACACTTGGAACTGACTCATACTTGAGACGGTTGCAGTGTCCTGGGGTCACGTGATCCCCTTGTGCAATCTTTTGACAAGCAAAGATGACGGGGAAGCTAGATTCACTTAACAACCATGTTACTAACTTACCAACTGCAGTGTCTCACTTAGCAACAGAAAGACTCCCAGCTGGGAAAGACTCATGTAGCCCATAAATTTGCCCCTTGTGAATATTATCTAGAACCACCTTTTCAGCTGGAGACTAAAACGTATGAAGAACAGCTGCAGGACTTGGGTTTGGCTAGTGCTAGTCTAAAGAAAACAAGGAATAGGGGAGATATGATAGCAGCCTTCCAGTATCTGAGGGGCTGCCACAAGGAAGAGGGAGTCAAGCTATTCTCCAAAGCACCAGAGGGCAGGACAAGAAACAATGGTTGGAAACCGATCAAAGAGAGAAGCAACCTAGAATTAAGGAGAAAGTTCCTGACAGTGAGGACAATTAACCAATGGAATGGCTTGCCACCAGAAATTGTGGGTGCTCCATCAGGTCTCACGTGTAAACAGTGTCTTTTATTGTTTGATCATTTACTTACAGACGTATCACATATACTGAATGTATCATTTGTTTCTGTACCCTACAAAAGGACTTGATTCCCCCTTAATAAATGCTTTTTGATTTGCCTGAATTATTTGAAGACCTGAACTTTCAAGTGGGCAAATAAGCCCCTTTGCAAAGGTCAAAGTTTTTCTCAAATTCAGGGATCAAATTCTTATTAGCTCAAGCCAAATTTGCAATGCCTGAGTTTGGAGGCTACAAATACACGCCATCGCCACCCAGTTGTTCAGAAAGAAATGGAGAAGATTCTTACATAAATCCATTTTTTAAGATGCAAGCCCTCCCCGTTTATATCTTTCCTCCATTTGTTCATATCTCCCCAGGGAGCATGACGCCGAGTTTGAGAACCTCTGCCTAAGAGAGATTTGCATGCTTAATTTCAGCTTTGGGTGTTCTTTTCTGTTGGCCTCTTAGCCAGCTTGTCCGTGGCTGGGACACACCCTTGACTGGCAAGATGCAGCTGAGCTGGGATAGGATGGCAAAGGAGGCCTGTCATCTCCTGGGGAATCCTGAGGGCTTTGTGACCTCATCATCCCTGCAGGCCAAACTGTCAGTTATCGGAGGGAAGGGGGCTGCTAAGTGGAGAGTTGGTGTTCAGAAAGGCCCCTGGACTCTGGCCAGCCTTCCCTCTTCTTCTAACCAACTATCAGGGAGGTAGATGGGGGTGAGGGTGAGAGTTTGGGATGGGATGAGGATGAAGGTGAGGTTAGGGGAAAGACAGGATGAGGGTGAGAGGGAGGTTGAGTCAGATCAGGGGGACGGTTAGGGAAGGGGGACACAAAGGGGGGAATGGGTAGGGGGATAGGAAAGGAGATGGAGGGGGAGGACAGGCTGGAGAGGGAGAGGAGGGGAGAATGGGAGGGGGAGGGGTGCAGAGAGTGGGAAGGGGTATAGGGAGGGGAAGATGACCAAGAGGCCCCTGGTGAGAGAAAAGGATGGGAGAGGGGAGAGTGGAGGGGGTGGGGGAGGGATGTGGATGAGAAAAATGGAGGGTGTGGAGAGGAGATAAAAGAGATTAAGGGGAGGGAGAGAAGGTGACATGAATGAGTGGGAGTGGGAAGGGAAAGGGGAGAGGGCGAGGAGAATCGGGAGGGAGGCAGGGATGGGAAGAGGGAGGGTGGAGAGAACACGAGATAAGGGAGAGTGATGTGGAGGGGAGTAGGAAGGGGAAGGGTGAGGAAAAGTGATGGAGGGGAAGGGGCCCCTGGGGGAGGAGAGGGAAAAGGGGGAGAGGGAGTGGGGGAAAGGGAGCAGGAGAGGAGGAGGGGGTAGTGGAGGGGGAGAGGGACAGAAGGGGAGGAGGGAAGGGTGAAAGGAGACATGAAGGGGGACAGGATGGGAAATGGAAAGGTGGAGAGTGAGGGAATGAGAGTGTGGGAAGGGGTTTAGGGAGAGAAGATGACCATGACGGGCTTGGGGAGGGGAAAGGGGAAGGGAAAGAGGAGGGGAACCCAACATGCAGAGATGGAGGGGTGTGGGACAAGAAAAGGAGAGGGAAGGGGACTGAGAGGCAGACAGGGTGGGGAAGTAGATGGAGGAAGGGGGAGAAGGGAGGGGAAGGGAAGGAGGAAGGTAAATGGGAATAGGGAGGGAGGGGGAGCTGCAGATAAAAGAGATTAAGAGAAAGGGCAGAGGAGACCAAGAGGGGAGGGCAGGGTGGGGAGAGGGAGAGAAAAGGGGGTAGGGGAGAATAAGCGAGTGGGAGTGAGACAGTGGGAAGGGATATAGGGAGGGAAGGTAACCATGAGGGAGTGGGGGAGAGGAAAGGGAGGGGAGGGGAAAGAGGAGGGGAAGCCAACATGCAGAGATGGAGGGTGTGGGACAAGAAAGAGACAGGCAGGGTGGGGGAGAAAGGCAAGAGATGGGGGAGGGGAAGTGAGGGAAGGAGGGGGGCGGAAAGAAGGGAGGGACAGGGAGATAAGAGATTAAGGGAAATGGAAGAATGAAGGTGATGGAGGAGGGGGCAAAGGAGGGAGGGGGAAGGCGAGGTGGAAAGGGGGCAGATCAAGAGGAGAGGGAGAGGAAGGGATGGTGGGAGGGATGGGGAGGGAAAGGAGAGAGGGCAAAAGGAATGGGGAAGGGAAGAGGGCAGGGATGGGAAGAGGGAGGAAGGAGGTGAGGGAGGAAGGAGGTGAGGGAGGGTGGAGATAACTACAGGAGATGGAGAGCAATGGGGAACGTGATGGGGAGGGGAGTAGGATGGGGAAGGGTGAGGAAAAGTGATGGAGGAGAAGGGGCACCTGGGGGAGAAGAGGGATAAACAGGGAAAGGGAGAAGGGGAAAAGAGCAGGAATGGAAGAGGAAGGGAAGATGGACCGTGAGGGGGTCAGAGGGAATTGAGGAAGTGCAGGGAGGGGGAAAGGCGGAGACATTGAAGGGGGAGCAAGGGGATGGAGAAGAGGATGTGAATGGGTTGGGAGCAAGGGGCAGGGGGAGGGAGCATGAGGGGATCAAGGGTAGAGAACAAGGGGAGGTCAATGGGAGGAGAGGATGGGGTCAGGTAGGGGAGGGAACAAGGGCGAGGGGATGGGGAGATACTGTGAGGGGGTTGGGGAGAGGAGAGTGAGGGGAACAAGGGAACTTGGAGGGGGATAGGGAGGGGAAGAGTGAGGACTGTATAGAGCAGACATGTCAAAGCCGCGACATCACATGACGTCGCGCAACGTATCAGGACTGTTTTTCCATTGCCGGCAATGGGGTGGGTGCAGCTTCCATGTGACACATACGGCCCACATGCTGGCAGTTTGACACCCCTGGGATAGGGGGATGGGGAGGGGAAAGGGAGGAGCTAAGGGAGGAAATGGGATGGGGAACAATGGGGATGGGGAGATGGACCATGAGAAGGTTGGGGAGATGAGGGTAAGGAAGGGAGGGGGTGAGGGGAGAAAGAGCACAGGGGAGAGGGAGGGGTATATGGACCCTGAATTGGTTGGGGAGAAGAGGTAGAGGGGGACAGGGAAGGGATGAAGGACGGAAGAGGTAAAGGGAGTGCAGGGGAACGGGAATAAGGGAGGGGGGCTATGACTCTCATGGTCTTGTGCCTCTGATTGCCCTGAACTCAAAAGACAAGGAAACTGGACGGTGGGGAATCAAGACTCCACCAGAACTTCACAGTCCAGGCCAGCAGGAGTAACTGGAGACCTTTTCTATATTTTGTGTTTCCCAGACTTCAGTCCACTTGAGGGGCGAAAAGACCCCGGTTGGGCACTGATTTACTAGAAGTCAAGTGAATTGCAGTAGGCTAAAGCCAGAACTGAAAGTCGGTGCCAGATTAGCCCAATGATGTTCCTCTTTCAGCTCTGAGAGACCAGCCCCATAAGCGAGATAAACTAGCTACTTCTCTGCTCTATGCCAATTCCACAGGAATCTCGCCAGAGTGGTGGCTTTTGCCTACGGAAGACTAGAGACGTCGATCCTACAAGGAGAAGCTGTCCAGCCCTCTGACCAAGAAAACTCACTGCCTGGTCTGCTTTGGCTTGTCAATAGGTCAGCTACTGAGATTACTCTGAGGTCAGGTGAACCACCTCACTGAACCAGATGCTCATTCTTCCATAATATAAAATGCTGCCGGGTTTGGCACACCAGTGCTTAAAACCCATCAGATGATAACTGTTCCTGTATACTGTTGGCTGTTTATGAGATATTGTTACTTAAAGAGTGTTTTGTATTATTGTATTTAGCTATATATTAAGGTTTACCATTGTTTTTGTATTTATGCTTTTAATCGTCCCTATATTTATTTATTTATGAGACTTATATACCGCTTTAAGTGCAAGCACTCTCTAAGCGGTGTACACCAGTAAGCAATGTATATATATATTTACATTGCCCCCAACAATCTGGGTCCTCATTTTACCTACCCCGGAAGGATGGAAGGCTGAGTCAACCTTGAGCCGGTGAGATTTGAACCGCTGACCTGCTGAACACCGTCAGCTAAAGTGGCCTGCAGTACTGCACTCTAACTGCTGCGCCACCTCGGCCAGCTTTGCTGACTGAGGAATTCTGGGAGTCGAAGTCCACAAGTCTTAAAGTTGCCAAGGTTGAGAACCCCTGGTTTATAGGGAGAGGAAAAGGAAGTGGAGAGAGGGACAGACTGAGAGGTGGACAGGTGGGGAGGAAAAAGGGGAAGGAGGGGGAGAGGAGGGGAGGGGTTGGATGGGGACAAGGGAGGGAGGGAGGGGAGATAAAAGGTTAAGAGAATGAAGACAGTGAAGGTGATGGGAGGGGTTTAAACCTTGTGGAAAAAGGAAAAGGACTTTTACGAATTCCAAAGGGTGAAACAGGATTATTTTGCGCAAAGGTTCAGAAGCAATTGAGATAGGCAATTCTGAACAGGGGGGGGGGGTTTTCCAAACTACAATCTTTATAGCTCCCCCCCTTTCTAAGGAACAAAGGAAGCATAGATGGAATCTACTTTGTATAACGTTCAGTTAGTTTCTCATATGTTAGGTTCATTTCTAATGGGAATCCAATGAAGGCAGTTTTACTTTATACAATGTTTCTAAATCATGCATTAGACCAGCGGTTCTCCACCTGTGGGTCGGGACCCCATTTGAGGTCGAACGACCATTTCACGGGGGTCGCCAAGCAACGCAGTCCACCATTTTTTTCCCCCTTTTCCTTAGCTGTGCTACTCCCTTTTATTCTATTGGCTTTTGAAAGCCAATAGAATAGACTCTCTTGAATAGAGTCTAATTCTAGTGGCTTTCAAAAGCCAATAGGAATTGTCCAGGCTGTCTCTGCCCTGCTGAGCCCGCCAAAAGTCCCATTCTGCAAACGGTGCTGCACCAGTTGAGTAGTCCTCGACTTACGACCGGTTGGGGGTCGCGGCATTAAAAAGGTTGAGAACCACTGCATTAGATCATTCACGTATTGTTAACATAGCTTTTGCTAACACAGCTTTCATCCAGGAATGATGCAGACACATCATTTTGCTTTTAGTGATTTTTTTTTCATTATCATTATTATTATTCTACTTTATTCATTTTTATTCTATGTTATTCTACTTCATTCCACTTCAAAAGGAGCAAGGGAGGGGCAGAAAGACCATTAGAAAGTTGGGAAGAGGAGAGGGAGAGAAAGGGATTGGAAGGGGATGAGGGGAAAGGGCAAAGGGGAAGGGAGAAGGAGGGGAAGAGGGAGAGGGACAGCAATAGGAAGGAGAGGGAGGGTGTGGGAGAAATGCAGGGGAAAGGGAGAGGAACAGGGAGGGGCAAGTTAGAACATTAAACCATCATAATAAAAGAAATAGTAAAATGGTTGTGTTCCCAAGGCTGCATATCCTTGAAGGTTTCGGCTGATAATACAGTATACATTCATATGGCGAATGACAATAGCTTAAAACCCACGTTTCAAAATTCCTCCCAACCGCCCAGTTTACAGGGAGCCAATGCAGAGGTGCAAAGGTGTTATGAGAACTCTGAACTGAGAAGGTGGTAAGTTTTTCTCACAGGCTGGGATTCTCCAGTTGGCTCCAGGCTCATCCCTCCCCCCTCCCATCCCCAGAAAGATAATCAAAGGAAAAGAGGAACAGAGTAAAATGGATGCACCACAGAAAAGCCCCCGGGGGGTCCCCCCTCCCGCCAGAAGGGCAGCGTCCCTATAGGGATCTATGGGGAGCTGACACTGCCATTTGTTCTGAAGGATTCAGCACACTCTGGGTGCATTTATAAACTTTCTGCTGAGTGTAAATTTGTAATTTTTATTCAGACCTATTTTGAGTGAACCTTTTCCACGCACCATGAATTTTTAGGGGTTTTCTCCCAGGTGAATTCAGATTCAGGAAGAATTTCTCATTGTATTCAGACACAGTACAGATGTGTGCTTGTTGTGAAGAATTCCCCACACTGAAAGTATTTATATGGTTTTTCCTCGTGTGTGGATTCTTTGATGCTTAGAAAGACTTCCCCTCCCACTGAAGCGCTTTCCACACTCCAGGCATTTATATTTTTTTCCTCCAATGTGAATTCTTTGATGTGTATAAAGGTTTCCCCTCTGACTGAAGCTCTTTCCACATTCAAGGCATTTATATGGCTTTTCTCCAGTGTGGATTCTTTGATGTGTATAAAGTTTTGCCCTCCCACTGAAGCTCTTTCCACATTCCATGCATTTATAGGTTTTCTCTTCTACGCAGATTCTTTGATGTATATAAAAGCTTTCCCTCCGACTGAAGCTCTTTCCACACTGCAGGCACTCATAAGGTTTCTCTCCAGTATGAATTCTTTGATGCAAATAAAGGCTGCTCCTCTGACTGAAGCTCTTTCCACACTCCAGGCATTTATGCGGTTTTTCTCCAGTGTGGCTCCTTTGATGTGCATAAAGGTTCCCCCTCTGACTGAAATTCTTTCCACACTCCAGGCATTTATGCAGTTTTTCTCCTGTGTGGATCCTTTGATGTGCATGAAGGTTTCCCCTCTGCCTGAAGCATTTTCCACACTCCAGACATTTATGTGGTTTCTCTCCAGTGTGAATCTTTTGATGTGCATGAAGGTGTCCTCTCTGACTGAAACTCTTTCCACACTCCAGGCATTTATGCGGTTTCTCTCCTGAGTGGATCCTTTGATGTACATAAAGGTTGCTCCTATGAATGAAACTCTTTCCACACTCCAGGCATTTATGTGTTTTTTCTCCAATGTGAATTCTTTGATGTTTATAAAGATGTCCCATCCGACTGAAGCTCTTTCCACATTCAAGGCATTTATATGGCTTTTCTCCAGTGTGGATCCTTTGATGTGTATAAAGATTTCCCCTCACACTGAAGCTCTTTCCACACTTGAGGCATTTATGTGGTTTCTCTCCAGTGTGGATCCTTTGATGTACATAAAGGCTGCTCCTCTCCCTGAAGCTCTTTCCACACTCCAGGCATATATGCGGTTTCTCTCCTGTGTGGATTTTTAGATGCCTTTCAACATTTGCCTTTCTTTTGAAGGATTTTCCACATACCGGGCACTGATATTTCTCTCCTCCCTCCTGGCTTTTGTTTTGTTTCCTGCGTCTTCCACCTGTCCCGAGGGACCCTCCGCCCTCCAGGCCCGTCTCGGTGTCTCCGCCCGTTTTCTCTCCAGTATGAATCCTTTGATGTCTATAAAGGCCTCTTGTCCGAGTGAAGCTCTTTCTACATTCCAGGCATTTATAAGGTTTCTCTCCAGTGTGGATCCTTTGATGACTATATAGATTTCCTCTCCTGCTGAAACTCTTTCCACACTCCAGGCATTTATGTGGCTTTTCTCCTGAATGGATCCTTTCATGTGTATAAAGGTTTCCCCTCTGACTGAAGCTCTTTCCACACTCCAGGCATTTAAATGGCTTTTCCCCTGAGTGGATTCTTAGATGCATTTTAAGATCTGCATTTCTTTTGAAAGATTTTCCACATTCTGGGCATTTAAATGGTTTTTCTCCTGTGTAGATTATTAGATGCTTTTTAAGATCTCCATTTCTTTTGAAGGATTTTCCACATTCCGAGCACTGATATTTCTCTCCTCCCTCCTGGATTTTCTGGGGATTCCCGGGTCTCCCGCCTCTTCTGAAGGACCCTCCGCCCTCCAGGCCCGTCTCGGGGTCTCCGCCCGTTTCCTGCTCCCCGCTTCTCCCTCCAGGCGGCCTCCTTTCTCCAGGTCCCCTTCGGCTCATCCCTGCCGAGCCTTCCCGCCGTCTCCTCCCGGAGCTGCTCCGCGGGGCCTCCTCTCCTCCCGGGCGGCGCCTCCTTCCTTCCTTCCTCCGCCGGGCTCGCCCGTCCTCCTGCAGGGGCGAAGGGGGGGAGGAGAGGCAAGTCATCGTTTCGTCTCTTCCCCAGAGGGGAGTCCCAGACCCACCCGCCCACCGACCCTCCCGGGGAGGAAGGCCGAAGCCTCCGCCTCTCCTCGGCATTACCCCGACAAGAATGGGACGGACTCGGCCTCCCTCCCAACGCGCGTCCCGCCAGACCAGGCCTCGGCCTCCTTCCCCCTCCCTCCCTCCCTCCGCCAGAGCGCCTCTCGGACTGCCACTCCCAGCATCCCTTGCGCCCTACCCGGCTCCGAGCCCGTCCGCGGACATTTATCCGTTTCCGGAAGTGGAGGCGGGACCTCTCCGAGCGCCCTTTCCTGTAGTAGCTACAGGAACAGAGTACCTGTTCCTCTGGAGGGACCGCCCCGAGGAGTCCCCCTGCCAATCGCCGCTCTGCCCCGAGCGACCAATTGGCGTCCTCCTTCCTCAGCCAGCCAGATGGCGCCTGCGCGGTGCTGTGGGGGATTTCCCTCCCGGGGCGGAGTTGAGGCGGGAGTCCGTCTTCCTCCCACCCGCCGCCCCGCATCCGTCAGGCCGGCCAGGCTCCCCCCGCGGCCCCCAGGCAGCCCCTCCCGCCTCTCAGGGCCGATCCCTGCCCCCCCCGCCTCCCTGCGTCCCCCCCGGAGCCCCTCCTCGCACGGGGGGGAGGGGCGAGGGGGTCCCAGGCCGGGCTGGATTTGGAGGATTTCTGTTCCCGTCTTTTCCGTTTGGAAAGGTTTCTCCCCCCCCCCGTTCTGCCCAGCCAGAGAGGGAGGGGGGAGGGGGGAGGGAGAGGAGGCGGGGCCAGAAACGCCCCCAGGACCATTGAGGGTCCTTGGGGGGCTCTGAGGCTTCTGGACTTCAACTCCCAGAATGCCAAGGTTGGGGACCTCTGACCTCGGGTGCTTCGGCCTGGGCTAGGACGCCCTGTGACCTCTGAGGCTCCTCCCCCTTCCAGGCAGCCTGCCCACCCCCGGACAGCAGGAATGGGAGGGGGCGGGAGGGCGTGGGAGGAGACGCTGCCTTGGCCGGGAAAGAAAGGCCGGGATGCGAGGGGGTCACCTGGAAGACGGAGACCAGCCAAGGTCGCCCAGGGAAAGAGATTGTTCCCAGAACAGCGCAGGCGCAACTGAGGGGGGGACGAAGGACAGGGGGAGACAAGGGGGGGGGGAGAGAATGGACTTTATCTTATGCTTTTGCCTGAGACATTGCAGGGCTCTGTGGCAGGAATAGCCAATACCCCGGAATATAAGCTCTGGATCCAAAGTTCACAGACTTGAACAATGGGCCCTATTCAACCACATGCCATTTAATGTGGAGAAAAGCAAGGTTTTACACCTGGGCAGGATAAACCCGAGGTACCAGTACAGATTAGACGAAACATGGCTCAAAAACTGGAACTGTGAGAGGGACCTTGGACTCTCAGTGGACGATCACTTAAATAGGAGTCAGCCGTGTGTGGCTGCAGCCCAGAAGACCTAATACAATCCTTGATTATATAAACAGAGGAAGAGAATCAAAATCATCCGAAGTATTAGTACCGCTTTATAAAGCCTTAGTAAGGCCACATCTGGAATGCTGCATCCAGCTTTGGTCACCACATTACAAAAAAGATTGCAAAGGAGAGAAACTAAGATAATTAAATGCCTGCAAGCTAAAAGATATGAAGAACGGTTGCAAGAACTGAGCATGGCTCTCTAGTGCAGTGGTTCTCAACCTGTGGGTCGGGACCCCATTTGGGGTCGAATGACCATTTCACGGGGGTCGCCAAACAAGGCTGTCCGCCATTTTTTTCCCCCTTTTCTTTGGCCACGCCCCTGGCACCTAGTGATGTATAAGTGGTTGGGGGTCACCACAACATGGGGAACTGTATTATGGGGTCACAGCATTAGAAAGGTTGAGAACCACTGCTCTAGTGAAAAGAAGGACTAGGGGAGACACGATAGCAATATTCCAGTATTTGAGAGGCTGCCACAAAAAAAAGGGGGGGGGGTGTGTCAACTTATTTTCCAAAAGCACCAGAAGGCAAAACAAGATACAATGGATGAGACCTAATCAAGGAGAGAAGTAACCTGGAATTAAGGAGAAACTTCCTAACAGTGAGAACAATTAACTAGTGGAACAATGTGCCTTCAAAAGTTGTGGGTACATTATTACTGGAGGTTTTAAGAAGAGACCTGACAGCCATTTGTCTGAAATAGTACAGGATCTCCTGCTTGAGCAGGGGGCTGGACTAGATGACCTCTAAGGTATCTTCCAGATCTATTCCGATTAACTGATTGAGTTAGGAGTGGAACTCATTTTTAACCCAAGGACTAATTTGTTTGCAGAAGTTGGTGTAGTTGTTAAGGCCTCAGGGTTGAAAGTGGGGGACCATGAGTTCATGTCCCACCTTGTCCATGAAAGGCAGCTGGGTGACTCTGGGCCAGTTATTCTCAGCCCAACCCACCTCACAGGATTCTTATTGTGGGGAAATTAGGAGGCAGAAATTTTTGCCACCATATTTCTAAAAATACTAAAGGTGGGATATAAAATTAATGTCTTTTGCATATTCTGCTAATACAGCTAAATACAATTAGACTCAGAAGAATTTGCAGAAATACCAAGGTTAACAGTAAGTTTTCAAAAGTCACAACTAATCTTCTATACCCTCCCTTAAAATTAAAAGTGAGATAGCTAATAGTCTCAATACATCCATAAAAAGGAAGTGCTTTGAATGTCTAGGAATTAATATTATTAAAGAATTAATCAACTATTTAATAATAATTTCTTCCCTTATGGAAAAAATAAAAAAGGAAATGAAACGATGAACAAGAAATATTCACAGGTTCATAGAATATATTCTGCCCAAATAAATAGATGTGTTGCTTCATTATTAGCATTCTAAATGTGATATTACCAGTCTTAATATCGTGGTTAGACTACTTTTTAATTTCTGCAAAACAAGTTTTTTTTTTTCTTCTCAAGGCCATTTTTTGAAATGGGAGAACCTGTCTTTTCATCCCTAAACACTTGAATCACTTGCAAACTTCTAAGGAAGTTTCCCATCTGGGAAAGACTAAGGTAACCTATAAATTGGCCCCCTGTGGAATGTTATCTAGATTCCATGTTTTCTGCTGTTCAAGTCTCACATGTAATCAAGGTCTTTTATTGTTTGATCTTTGGCTTACTGAAGTGTCACATATACTAAATATATGAATTCTTCTGTATCCTATAGAAATACTTGATCCCCCTTAATAAATGCTCTTTTCTTTGTCTGAGTTATTTGGAGATTCGTACTTTCGAGTGGGCAAATGAGTCCCTTTGCAAAGGTCAAAATTTGACCTTGATTCAGGGATCAAATTCTTATCAGCTCCAAGCCAAATTTGCAATGCCTGAGTTTGGAGGCTACACACGCCATCACCACAAAGTTGTTCAGAAAGAAATGGAGATTATTCTTATATCAACCTATTTTTTATGGGCAAGCCCACCCAGCCTACCCCCCAGTTTGTACTGCTCCTCATGGTGTTCCTTTCTCCCCAGGGAGCATGACGCCGAGTTTGAGAACCTCTGCCAAAGAGAGCTTTGCATGCTTAAGTTCAGCTTTGAATGTTCCTCTTTGTATTGGCCTCTTAGCCTTCAGCCAGCTTGCCTGTGGCTGGGACACACCCTTGACTGGCAAGATGCAGCTGAGCTGGGATAGGATGGCAAAGGAGGCCTGTCACCTCCTGGGGAATCCTGAGGGCTTTGTGACCTCATCATCCCTGCAGGCCAAACTGTCAGTTATGTCAGTTATCAGAGGGACGGGGGCTCCTAAGTGGGGAGTTGGTGTTCAGAAGGGCCCCTGGACTCTGGCCAGCCTTCCCTCTTCTTCTAACCGACTATCAGGGAGGTAGATGGGGGTGAGGGTGAGAGTTTGGGGTGGGATGAGGGTGAGGATGAAGGTGAGGTTAGTGGAAAGACAGGATAAGGGTGAGAGGGTGGTTGAGAGATCAGCGGGACTGTTAGGGAGGGGAGACAGGAGGGCAATGGGACTGGGGAAGGAGGGGAATAGGCGGGAAGGGGAGAGGAAAGAAGGGGAGGACAAAGTGGACGGAGGGAGGGAAGAACGGAAGGAGGATGGGGAGGGTGAGGGGATGAAGAGTGGGAAGGTTTATAGGGAGAGGAAGGGACTGAGAGGTGGACGGTGGGGAGGAAAAAGGGAAGAAGGGGGAGAGGAGGGGAGGGGTTGGATGGGAATAAGGGGGGGGAGATAAAAGGTTAAGAGAATGAAGACAGTGAAGGTGATGGGAGAGGTTAAAGGAGCAAGGGAGGGGCAGAAAGACCATTAGGAAGTTGGGAAGAGGGAGAGGAAGGGATTGGAAGGGGATGAGGGGAAAGGGCAAAGGGGAAGGGAGAAGGAGGGGAAGAGGGAGAGGGACAGCAATGGGAAGGAGAGGGAGGGTGTGGGAGAAATGCAGGGGAAGGGGAGAGGAACGGGGAGGGGGAAGTTACAACATTAAACCATCATAATAAAAGAAATAGTAAAATGGTTCTGTTCCCAAGTCTGCATGTCCTTGAAGGTTTGGGCTGATAATACAGTATAGTTCACATGGTGAATGACAATAAAGAGTAAATATCCACATCTGTCCCTTATTGGATCCTAATTAACTCTGCCATAAATAGGCTCTTAGAACTAGAGAAACCATTGTGCTTGTCATCTAGGGCTGCCCCGAGCTTGCTGGCTACATTTGGCTGCATATTAGCCACGATTAATCCATTTCTGTTTCTCATGTGGGTTATGATGGAAGTTAGCCCCCCCAGAAGGAAATATTAAAAAGGGCAGAAAAATATATTTTTCCTCAAAAGGACTTTTTAAAACCAAACCTGGCCCCAAATCTATCTCTCTGCCCCAAGCAAGAGCTAGGCCCATACAAATGCAAATGTAAAACCATCAGAAAGTTGGAGCCAGAGCAATCAAGAAGACGAAAGAGAAGATCTGCATACCCCACCCAAACTCTAGGAGTCAGCCCCATCACCTGGGAAGCAGGATATGATAATAGAATTAAACCACAGATATCAAGGCCTAGACAACACTCAGAAACAGCCTCAAGGTTCATGCCACAGGAACAGGAAACTATTCCAAACAAGGCTAGAGGGGGTATAAAAGCCTACTGCCCCATGTGCTCAGCCCTTCTCTCTCCTCTGCACTTTCCTGAAGAACCATCTTTCTGCAATAAACTGTAACCTTCTTCCCAAAGCAGTCACCATGTTTGCTTATTTATTCCCGGCTTGGATGAACCAGGATGAAGACTTTACTTCTATCAGTTATTAAGTGGTTTTTGAGCTGCTTGTAAGGTCTTGTCTCAGTTAGTCCCTCAAGAAAGCAGAACTCTTGAATCAAGAGTCATTTCAAAAGGAACTTTTATTGAGAGATAGATTGCAGAGAAAGCAGGCAGGATCTAAAATTCCCGTGTGAAAACAATAGCTTAAAACCCACGTTTCAAAATCCTTCCCAACTGCTCAGTGTACAGAGAGCCAATGCAGAGGTGCAAAGGTGTTATGAGAACTCCGAACTGAGGAGGTGGTAAGAAGTTCTTCTCAGAGGCTGGGATCCTCCGGAGCTGAGACAAAACAGATGGCCCCAGGCTCATCCCTCCATCCCCAGGAAGATAATCAAAGGAAAAGAGGAACAGAGTAAAATGGATGCACCACAGAAAAGCCCCCGGGGTCCCCCCTCCCGCCAGAAGGGCAGCGTCCCTATAGGGATCTATGGGGAGCTGACACTGCCATTTGTTCTGAAGGATTCAGCACACTCTGGGTGCATTTTTAAACTTTCTGCTGAGTGTAAATTTGTAATTTTTATTGAGACCTATTTTGAGTAAACCTTTTCCACACACCATGAATTTGTAGGGGTTTTCTCCCAGGTGAATTCAGATCAGGAAGAATTTCTCATTGTATCCACACACAGTAAAGATTTGTGCTTGTTGTGAAGAATTCTCCACACTGAAGGTATTTATATGGTTTTTCCTCATGTGTGCATTCTTTGATGTTTAAGAAGACTTCTCCTCCCACTGAAGCTCTTTCCAAACTCCAGGCACTTTTAGGATTTCTCTCCAGTGTGAATACGTTGATGTTTGTAGAGGTTTCCCCTCACACTGAAGCTTTTCCCACATTCAAGGCATTTATATGGCTTTTCTCCAGTGTGGATTCTTTGATGTGTATAAAACTTTTCCCTCCAATTGAAGCTTTTCCCACATTCCATGCATTTATAGGTTTTCTCTTCTAAGCAGATTCTTTGATGTGTATAAAGGCTTTCCCTCCGACTGAAGCTCTTTCCACACTGCAGGCACTCATAAGGTTTCTCTCCAGTATGAATTCTTTGATGTCTATAAAGGTTTCCCCTGTGACTAAAGCTCTTTCCACACTCCAGGCACTTATAGGGTTTCTCTCCCGTGTGAATTCTTTGATGTTGATGTAGAGCTCAACTCACAGTGAAGCTCTTTCCACACTCCAGGCATTTATGCAGTTTCTCTCCTGAGTGGATTCTTTGATGTACATAAAGGTTTCCACTCTGACTAAAGGACTTTCCACACTCCAGGCATTTATACGGTTTCTCTCCTGAGTGGATTCTTTGATGTACATAAAGGTTGCTCCGCAGACTGAAGCTCTTTCCACACTCCAGGCATTTATAAGGTTTCTCTCCAGTGTGGATTGTTTGATGTCTATAAAGGTTTTCCCTCCGACTGAAGCTCTTTCCACACTTGAGGCATTTATGCGGTTTCTCTCCTGAGTGGATCCTTTGATGTACATAAAGGCTGCCCCTCTGACTGAAGCTCTTTCCACACTCCAGGCATTTATGCGGTTTCTCTCCTGAGTGGATCCTTTGATGTGCATAAAGGTGTCCCGTCCGATTGAAGCTTTTTCCACACTCCAGGCATTTATAAGGTTTTTCTCCAGTGTGGCTCCTTTGATGTGTATAAAGGTTGCTCCTCCGAATAAAGCTCCTTCCACACTCCAGGCATTTATGCGGTTTTTCTCCTGTGTGGCTCCTTTGATGTACATAAAGGCTTCCCCTGTGACTAAAGTATTTTCCACACTCCAGACATTTATGTGGTTTCTCTCCAGTGTGGATTCTTTGATGTTGACGTAAGTTTCCACTCTGAGGAAAGCTCTTTCCACATTCTAGGCATTTGTATGGTTTTTCTCCAGTGTGGCTCCTTTGATGTCTATAAAGGTTGCTAATCTGATGGAAGCTCTTTCCACACTCCAGGCATTTATAAGGTTTTTCTCCAGTGTGGCTCCTTTGATGTGTATAAAGGTTGCTCGTCTGAATAAAGCTCCTTCCACACTCCAGGCATTTATGCAGTTTTTCTCCTGTGTGGCTCCTTTGATGTACATAAAGGCTTGCCCTGTGACTGAAGTATTTTCCACATTCCAGACATTTATGTAGGTTCTCTCCAGTGTGGATTCTTTGATGTTGACGTAAGTGTCCACTCTGAGTAAAGCTCTTTCCACATTCTAGGCATTTGTATGGTTTTTCTCCAGTGTGGCTCCTTTGATGTCTATAAAGGTTGCTACTCTGACGGAAGCTCTTTCCACACTCCAGGCATTTATAAGGTTTTTCTCCAGTGTGGCTCCTTTGATGTGTATAAAGGTTGCTCCTCCGAATAAAGCTCCTTCCACACTCCAGGCATTTATGCGGTTTTTCTCCTGTGTGGCTCCTTTGATGTACATAAAGGCTTGCCCTGTGACTGAAGTATTTTCCACACTCCAGACATTTATGTGGTTTCTCTCTAGTGTGGATTCTTTGATGTTGACGTAAGTTTCCACTCTGAGTAAAGCTCTTTCCACATTCTAGGCATTTGTATGGTTTTTCTCCAGTGTGGATCCTTTGATGTCTATAAAGGTGGCTACTCTTACGGAAGCTCTTTCCACACTCCAGGCATTTATAAGGTTTTTCTCCTGAGTGGATCCTTTGATGTCTATAAAGGTTTCCCCTCACATTGAAGTGCTTTCCACACTCCAGGCATTTATTTGGTTTGTCTCCGGAGTGGATCCTTTGATGTACATAAAGGTGTCCCCTGTGATTGAAGCTCCTTCCACACTCCAGGCATTTATGCGGTTTCTCTCCCGAGTGGATCCTTTGATGTGTATAAAGGCTTCCCCTGTGACTGAAGCTCCTTCCACACTCCAGGCATTTATGCGGTTTCTCTCCTGAGTGGATCTTTTGATGTGTACAAAGATTTTCCCTCTGAGTGAAGCTCTTTCCACACTCCAGGCATTTAAAAGGTTTCTCTCCTGAGTGGATTCTTTGATGTCTATAAAGGCTTCCCCTCTGACTGAAGCTTTTTCCACACTCCAGACATTTATGCAGTTTCTCTCCTGAGTGGATTCTTTCATGTGCATAAAGGTTGCTGCTCTGAGTGAAGCGCTTTCCACACTCCAGGCATTTAAAAGGTTTTTCTCCTGAGTGGATCCCTTGATGTTTATAAAGGCTTCCACTCACACTGAAGCTCTTTCCACACTCCAGGCATTTATGCGGTTTCTCTCCTGAGTGGATTCTTAGATGGTTTACAAGATCTGCATTTCTTTTGAAGGATTTTCCACATTCCGGGCACTCATGTTTCTCTCCTCCCTCCTGGATTCTCTGGGGATTCCCGGGTCTTCCGCCTGTCCCGAAGGACCCTCCGCCCTCCAGGCCCGTCTCGGGGTCTCCGCCCGTTTCCTGCTCCCCGCTTCTCCCTCCGGGCGGCCTCCTTTCCCGGAGTCCCCCTCGGCTCATCCCTGCCGGGCCTTCCCCGCCGTCTCCTCCCGGGGCTGCTCCGCGGGGCCTCCTCTCCTCTCGGGCGGCGCCTCCTTCCTTCTCCTTCCTTCCTCCGCCGGGCTCGCCCGTCCTCCTGCAGGGGCGAAGGGGGGGAGGAGAGGCGGGTCACGGCTTCGTCCCTTCCGCGGAGGGGAGTCCCAGGCCCGCCCGGGGAGGAAGGCCGGAGCCTCGGCCTCTCCGTGGGACTTTCCGGGCAGGCCTCCCTCCCAGCGCCCGTCCCGCCAGACCAGGCCTCGGCCTCCCCCTCCCTCCGCCAGAGCGCCTCTCGGACTGCCACTCCCAGCATCCCTTGCGCCCTACCTGGCTCCGAGCCCCTCCGCGGCCGAGTCAATTAAGCGCCTACGCTCTATCCGTTTCCGGAAGTGGAGGCGGGACTTCGCTGCGTGCCCTTTTCCTCTATAAGCTCCGCCTGTTCCTCTGGAGGGGCCGCCCCGAAAAGTCCTCCTGCCATTCGCCTTCCTCACCCGGCCGACCAATCTGGGGCCTCCTTCCTGGAATCAGTTAGGTGGCGCCTGCGCAGTAGCGACGGGCATGCTACACTCGGCGGGGAGTTTGAGGGTTTCCCTTTCACTTTTGGGGTCCGTTCTTCCTCCTCTCCGCCCCCTCTCCCCCAGGCAGGCAGAGGGTGGGGGCGCTGCTGGGGCTGTCACTTCCCCCCTCCCTCCCCATCCGGGGTCTTTCTTCGGCAGGGCGGGGTGAGAGGTGGGTGCTCCGTCCAGGCTCCCCCCGCGGCCCCCAGGCAGCCCCTCCCGCCTCTCAGGGCCGATCCCTGCTCCCCCCCCGCCCCCCTGCGCCCCCCCGGAGCCCCTCCTCGCACGGGGGGAGGGGGCGAGGGGGCCCCAGGCCGGGCTGGATTTGGAGGATTTCTGTTCCCGTCTTTTCCGTTTGGAAAGGCTTCTCCCCCCCCCCGTTCTGCCCAGCCAGAGAGGGAGGGGGAGGGAGAGGAGGCGGGGCCAGAAACGCCCCCAGGACCATTGAGGGTCTCCAGCCTTGGGGGCTTTAAGGCTTCTGGACTTCAACTCCCAGAATTCCTCAGCCAGCCACTCTTGCCAAGGTTGGGGACCTCTGACCTCGGGTGCTTCGGCCTGGGCTAGGACGCCCTGTGACCTCTGAGGCTCCTCCCCCTTCCAGGCAGCCTGCCCACCCCCGGACAGCAGCAATGGGAGGGGGCGGGAGGGCGTGGGGAGAGACGCTGCCTTGGCCGGGAAAGAAAGGCCGGGATGCCAGGGGGTCACCTGGAAGACGGAGACCAGCCAAGGTCGCCCAGGGAAAGAGATTGTTCCCAGAACAGCGCAGGCGCAACTGAGGGATGGACGAAGGACAGGGGGAGACAAGGGGGGGGGCAGAGAGAATGGACTTTATCCTATGCTTTTGCCTGAGACATTGCAGGGCTCTGTGGCAGGAATAGCCAACACCCCGGAAGAGAAGCTCGGGATCCAAAGTTCACAGACTTGAACGATGGGCCCTATCCAACCACATGCCATTTAATGTGCAGAATAAAAACCATGTGAAATAGTAGTACCGCTCTATAAAGCCTTAGTAAGACCACATCTGGAATGCTGCATCCAGCTTTGGTCACCACATTACAAAAAAGATTGCAAAGGAGAGCAACTAAGATAATTAAATGCCTGCAAGCTAAAAGATATGAAGAACGGTTGCAAGAACTGAGCATAGTGAAAAGAAGGACTAGGGGGACATGGTAGCAGTATTCCAGTATTTGAGAGGCTGTCACAAAAAAGGGGGGGTGTCAACTTATTTTCCAAAAGCACCAGAAGGCAAAACAAGATACAATGGATGGGACCTAATCAAGGAGAGAAGTAACCTGGAATTAAGGAGAAACTTCCTAACAGTGAGAACAATTAACTAGTGGAGCAATGTGCCTTCAAAAGTTGTGGGTACATTATTACTGGAGGTTTTAAGAAGAGACCTGACAGCCATTTGTCTGAAATAGTACAGGATCTCCTGCTTGAGCAGGGGGCTGGACTAGATGAGCTCTAAGGTATCTTCCAGATCTATTCCGATTAACTGATTGAGTTAGGAGTGGAACTCATTTTTAACCCAAGGACTAATTTGTGTGCAGAAGTTGGTGTAGTTGTTAAGGCCTCAGGGTTGAAAGTGGGGGACCATGAGTTCATGTCCCACCTTGTCCATGAAAGGCAGCTGGGTGACTCTGGGCCAGTTATTCTCAGCCCAACCCACCTCACAGGATTCTTATTGTGGGGAAATTAGGAGACAGAAGGTGTGTTTGAAATTTTTGCCACCATATTTCTAAAAATAATAAAGGTGGGATATAAAATTAATGTCTTTTGCAAATTCTAATACAGCTAAACACAATTAGACTCAGAAGAATTTGCAGAAATATCAAGATTAACAGTAATTCTTCGCCAAGTCACAACTCATCTTCTATACCCTTAAAATTAAAACTGAGATAGCTAATAGTCTCAATACATCCATAAAAAGGGAGTGCTTTGAATGTCTAGAAATTAATATTATTAAAGAATTAACCAAGTATTTAATAATTTCTTCCCTGTATGGAAAAAATAAAAAAGGAAATGAAAAGATGAAGAAATATTCACAGATTCATAGAATATATTCTGCCCAAATAAATAGATTTGTTGCCTCAAAGTTGAGGCTTCATTATTAGCATTTTAAAGGTGATATTCAAGTGTTTAGGGATGAAAAGACAGGTTCTCCCATTCAAAAAAATGGCCTTGAGAAGAAAAAAAAAAACTCGTTTTGCAGAAATTAAAAGTAGCCTAACCATGATATTAAGCACTCTTAATATTGTGGTTAGGCTACTTTTTAATTTCTGCAAAACAAGTTTTTTTTTCTTCTCAAGGCCATTTTTTTGAATGGGAGAATCTATCTTTTCATCCCTAAACACTTGAATCACTTGCAAGTTCTAAGGAAGTTTCCCATCTGGGAAAGACTATAATGTAACCTATAAATTGGCCCCTGGGCAAATTTATCTAGAATCCACCTTTTCTGCTGTTCAGGTCTCCCATGTAATCAAGGTCTTTTATTGGTTTACTAAAGTGTCACATATACTAAATATATCATTTCTTCTATATCCTATAGAAATACTTGATCCCCTTTAATAAATGCTCTTTCTTTGTCTGAGTTATTTGGAGATTCGTACTTTCGAGTAGGCAAATGAACCCCTTTGCAAAGGTCAACATTTGACCTTGATTCAGGAATCAAATTCTTATCAGCTCCAAGCCAAATTTGCAATGCCCGAGTTTGGAGGCTACACATGCCATCAACACACATTTGTTCAGAAAGAAATGGAGATTATTCTTATATCATGGGCAAACCCACCCAGCCCACCCCCCAGTTTGTACCGCTCCTCATGGTGTTCCTTTCTTCCCAGGGAGCATGACGCCGAGTTCGAGAACCTCTGCCAAAGAGAGCTTTGCATGCTTAATTTCAGCTTTGAATGTTCCTCTTTGTATTGGCCTCTTAGCCTTCAGCCAGCTTGTCCCTGGCTGGGACACACCCTTGACTGGCAAGATGCAGCTGAGCTGGGATAGGATGGCAAAGGAGGCCTGTCATCTCCTGGGGAATCCTGAGGGCTTTGTGACCTCATCATCCCTGCAGACCAAACTGTCAGTTATGTCAGTTATCAGAGGGACGGGGGCTCCTAAGTGGGGAGCTGGTGTTCAGAAGGGCCCCTGGACTCTGGCCAGCCTTCCCTCTTCTTCTAACCGACTATCAGGGAGGTAGATGGGGGTGAGGGTGAGAGTTTGGGGTGGGATGAGGGTGAGGATGAAGGTGAGGTTAGGTAGGGCCTTTCCAAATCATTCGGATTGTGAATCCTGTTACAGTGGAGCTGAGGTTGCCAAAAAGCCTCTGGTGAGCCCATCCAGTGTGTCCCTACGGTCTTTTACAACTTTTTCGCAAATCTGGCTTGAAGCCAGTCAAGGAACCACCTCCCCCTCCCATCCTAGTTAAGGGAGAGGAGAACTATGAGATCAAAAAGATTGTAATACCTAGTAGTCTGGAAAGGCTACCCACTAGCAGACGCTGAATGGACAGCTGTTCCTGATGTTAGAGCAGCGAGGCTAGCTAAGACATTTCATAACAGGCACCCCCAAACACCCCAGTGAGGGGTATGGCCATAGGTGAGTTGTGAGTAATGATGTGTGTGTATGTTTATTGTTGTTCCAGATCTATCCTTCTTCCAGGGCGTCAGTATGTCAAGCCCAATTGGCACTTTCACCTATATTCGCTTACAGCAGTGGTTCTCCACCTGTGGGTCGGGACCCCATTTGGGGTCGAACGACCATTTCACAGGGGTCGCCAAACAAGGCTGTCCACCATTTTTTTCCCCTTTTCTTTGGCCACGCCCCTGGCACCCGGTGATGTATAAGTGCTTGGGAGTCACAACATGGGGAACTGTATTATGGGGTCACGGCATTAGAAAGGTTGTGAACCACTGGCTTACAGCTTGACAAAGAAAAGGGGGAGGGAGAGAGAATGCAAGGGTGTAACATTTTTACAGTTAGCAATAATTTTTAACTTATACATAGTTATTTTGACATCCAATCTTTATAGACAATGTCCTAATCAGTTTTCCCAAATTTTAGTTTCCCGTTAATATTTGAATTTAACACTTATGAATTGTAATTTCCAGATTTTGAGTAACCAAAATTCCCATTATCAAATTCGTTAAACAATCTAATATTCAGGATACACACCTTATCTATTCAAACATACTATTTTACACCACCTTACACCATCTAGTTAGTAATACAGCATAACATATTTATTTTCTATTAATTTCCAAATATCTTAACCTTAGTAATCAGAATTTGTTTTTTCCACATCAGATGCTTCCTCTCTTTTTCTCTTAATGTCTACTATCTCATATTTAGTTAATATAATTTTTAATATGTCAGCTAAATAAAACACGTTGACTCCCATTGTTGTAGGCGCCCTCGAGACAAAGCGACCATCACCACTCCGTGTGTGGCTGCTGATCATGACTGAATACATCACATGCCCTGTTAGGCAGAGGCGCCAACATGGGAGACCTCCTTGGGATGGTGGCCACTTGGAGGGGAGGCCGGGAGGCCCCGGACTTAAGTGGTTCTTCTATTCCTCTTTGGATTTCAGGGCAGGTACACCATAATTAAAATGTGTTATTTGACCGTAAATCCATCAGTCTGGACAGCCATTTGTCTGGAATGGTATAGGATTTCTTGCTTGAGCAATGGGTTGGACTAGGTGACCTCCAAGGGCCCATCCAGCTCTATTCCAATTCTGACTTTGACCAGAACTCTCACTGATCTGCTATCGCCTGTCAATAGGCTACTGGTCATCCCAAAGATGTTTTTTC